GTCTTCTTTTTCCAGATGCTGCCTCCAAGTTTATGTAGGTCTGCCTACATATTATCTCTCCATCCCCTTTATGGTCTAATTACATTCCACGTTGTTGTTTATACATTTCTGTCTCTCTGTTATCTGCATAATTCTCTTTATATGCTCCAAGCACATCAGTCTATTAGCCCCATGATTCCAGTAATTTGTGGTGATTTAAACAAATAAGGTATGTTGGGGCTCATTCTGCATTCTCTGACATTTGCATCTTTGATGGGTCCAAAGATTTGTGTCATCAATTATCTTCATAAATTAAATTTCTTTCGAGATATATTTATTGCTTTTAAAAAAAAAAATATGTCCATGACATTCTTAATATTCTTCTAGAAAATGACAGCATGACAGTCAACTACAAACAACACAAGGAAAATATTCCAGTTTTAATAGACACATTCACGACTTTATTTTATTAATATAATAATTAGACAAGTAAAAAAAAAAAAAATGTAACATCTAGATAAACTGTGTATAAAACAAGAATAAAGAAATTAACAGGAATGCTAGAAGTTTAATAAAATTAACTTCAACAAAATCTGAAAGCTGGTCTATTCTGCCAGGAAATGCCTGTCCTCCAAACACTGACTGCTAAAACATAACCAAACTACAAAAACACATTAGGCCATTAGATAATCACTTCAAAAAGCAAAGTTTTCATTTCTCAAGCAAAAAAAAAAAAAAAAAAATGGTGATATTTCAGTTATTGCTTGATTAACTGGTTTATTTCAGTACTGGCAGAAGCATAAATTAAAATACTGCTGCGGCACCAAAAAAACTGGAAACAAAATTAACAAACTTACTTTGCTTTGTTACATCTTTGTAAATGAGAAATGTTACATGAAAATTGTTACTGCTGAGTATGACAACAGAAAACAGAATTACTATATTTTGTTTTACTATAAATTTGTCTAAACTATGAAATTTACTTCTGAGCCTGACATTAGAAAAACATAATTATTATAGTTTGTTGTACTATAAATTTGTCTAAACTATGAAATTTACTACTGAGCCCGACAAAAAACAGAATTACTCTATTCTGTTGTACTATAAATTTGTGAAAGCTATGAAATGCTACACGGAAATGCTTACTATTAAGCCTGACAACAGCGACCAGAAATATTTGATGTTTTATTTAAACAATGACCGTCAAATATGAAATGTTGTGTAAAAAAATTGTTATGATATATCTTGTCAAATAACTGTATACACTGTAATTTACCTGACTCTGCTTCAATAAATATGGCAAACAGACTTTCAGTTAACCTTATCACAATACAGAAATGTTCATTAGTCTACCGTACTCTACAAACATTACACAGAAATGTGGCATGGACAATTTTCAACTATTAAAAAAAAAAAAGAATTCTAATTTTAAAAAAAATCACTTTTTATTTTCTACTCTGATGAGTGGCAGCCGTTGTGGTGTAGTGGCGAGAAGTTGTGGTGTAGTGTCGAGAAGTTGTAGTGTAGTGTCGAGAAGTTGTGGTGTAGTGGTGAGAAGTTGTGGTGTAGTGGCGAGAAGTTGTGGTGTAGTGGCAGCCGTTGTGGTGTAGTGGCGAGAAGTTGTGGTGTAGTGGCAGCCGTTGTGGTGTAGTGTCGAGAAGTTGTGGTGTAGTGGCGAGAAGTTGTGGTGTAGTGGCAGCCGTTGTGGTGTAGTGTCGAGAAGTTGTGGTGTAGTGTCGAGAAGTTGTGGTGTAGTGTGGAGAAGTTGTGGTGTAGTGGTGAGAAGTTGTGGTGTAGTGGCAGCCGTTGTGGTGTAGTGTCGAGAAGTTGTGGTGTAGTGTCGAGAAGTTGTGGTGTAGTGGCGAGAAGTTGTGGTGTAGTGGCGAGAAGTTGTGGTGTAGTGTTGAGAAGTTGTGGTGTAGTGGTGAGAAGTTGTGGTGTAGTGTCGAGAAGTTGTGGTGTAGTGTCGAGAAGTTGTGGTGTAGTGTGGAGAAGTTGTGGTGTAGTGTCGAGAAGTTGTGGTGTAGTGTTGAGAAGTTGTGGTGTAGTGGTGAGAAGTTGTGGTGTAGTGTCGAGAAGTTGTGGTGTAGTGTTGAGAAGTTGTGGTGTAGTGTTGAGAAGTTGTGGTGTAGTGTTGAGAAGTTGTGGTGTAGTGTCGAGAAGTTGTGGTGTAGTGGCAGCCGTTGTGTTGTAGTGTCGAGAAGTTGTGGTGTAGTGGCGAGAAGTTGTGGTGTAGTGGCGAGAAGTTGTGGTGTAGTGTTGAGAAGTTGTGGTGTAGTGGTGAGAAGTTGTGGTGTAGTGGTGAGAAGTTGTGGTGTAGTGTCAAGAAGTTGTGGTGTAGTGTTGAGAAGTTGTGGTGTAGTGTCGAGAAGTTGTGGTGTAGTGTTGAGAAGTTGTGGTGTAGTGTTGAGAAGTTGTGGTGTAGTGGTGAGAAGTTGTGGTGTAGTGTCGAGAAGTTGTGGTGTAGTGTCGAGAAGTTGTGGTGTAGTGTGGAGAAGTTGTGATGTAGTGTCGAGAAGTTGTGGTGTAGTGTTGAGAAGTTGTGGTGTAGTGGTGAGAAGTTGTGGTGTAGTGTTGAGAAGTTGTGGTGTAGTGGCAGCCGTTTTGGTGTAGTGGTGAGAAGTTGTGGTGTAGTGTTGAGAAGTTGTGGTGTAGTGGCAGCCGTTGTGGTGTAGTGGTGAGAAGTTGTGGTGTAGTGACGAGAAGTTGTGGTGTAGTGTTGAGAAGTTGTGGTGTAGTGTTGAGAAGTTGTGGTGTAGTGGCAGCCGTTGTGGTGTAGTGGTGAGAAGTTGTGGTGTAGTGTTGAGAAGTTGTGGTGTAGTGGCAAGAAGTTGTGGTGTAGTGTTGAGAAGTTGTGGTGTAGTGTTGAGAAGCTGTGCTGTAGTGTTGAGAAGCTGTGCTGTAGTGTTGAGAAGCTGTGCTGTAGTGTTGAGAAGTTGTGCTGTAGTGTTGAGAAGTTGTGCTGTAGTGTTGAGAAGCTGTGCTGTAGTGTTGAGAAGTTGTGCTGTAGTGGTGAGAAGTTGTGGTGTAGTGGTGAGAAGTTGTGGTGTAGTGTTGAGAAGTTGTGCTGTAGTGTTGAGAAGTTGTGCTGTAGTGTTGAGAAGCTGTGCTGTAGTGTTGAGAAGCTGTGCTGAAGTGTTGAAAAGTTGTGCTGTAGTGGTGAGAAGTTGTGGTGTAGTGTTGAGAAGTTGTGCTGTAGTGTTGAGAAGTTGTGCTGTAGTGTGAGAAGTTGTGCTGTAGTGTTGAGAAGCTGTGCTGTAGTGGTGAGAAGTTGTGGTGTAGTGGCGAGAAGTTGTGGTGTAGTGTTGAGAAGTTGTGGTGTAGTGTTGAGAAGTTGTGGTGTAGTGGCAAGAAGTTGTGGTGTAGTGTTGAGAAGTTGTGGTGTAGTGGCGAGAAGTTGTGGTGTAGTGTTGAGAAGTTGTGGTGTAGTGGTGAGAAGTTGTGGTGTAGTGTCGAGAAGTTGTGGTGTAGTGTCGAGAAGTTGTGGTGTAGTGTTGAGAAGTTGTGGTGTAGTGGCGAGACGTTGTGGTGTAGTGTCGAGAAGTTGTGGTGTAGTGGTGAGAAGTTGTGGTGTAGTGGTGAGAAGTTGTGGTGTAGTGGTGAGAAGTTGTGGTGTAGTGGTGAGAAGTTGTGTAGTGGTGAGAAGTTGTGGTGTAGTGTCGAGAAGTTGTGGTGTAGTGTCGAGAAGTTGTGGTGTAGTGGTGAGAAGTTGTGGTGTAGTGGCGAGAAGCTGTGGTGTAGTGTCGAGAAGCTCGCCTAAGGATCCAAAATTCATGGGTTCAGGTCTTGACAGAACAGGATTTAAAAAAAAATAACATTGGCTCCTAAGTCAACCCAGCCTCAAATGGGTACCAGGTAAAGTCCTGGGACGTAAAGGTAGCTGTCGTGATGCTGACCACATTACCGTCTGAGTTCTGATTGGTCTATAAAATATAGGTCTAGCTCTATATGCATAAAATGCCTGAAGCGGTGGAAAAGGGTATTTTATTTTACTTTCATGAGTTAAACTAATGACTTGTACAACTAAATAAAAACAGAACTACAGTCAGCTGTATATAACAAGTTAAAACTAGAAACTGTATGTAATTTAACAGTTAAAACTAAGGACTTGTCAAAACTTAAATAATATTAGTATCAACTTTAGGAAACAAGTTGAAGTGGAGACTAATAAATCAATGAGATGTTGAAACTGGAAATTTTAAACTTAAAATAAAATAAATAAAAAATAAAAAAAAAATAAAAAAAACCCTAGTCTACCTATAAAGTTAAAATCATAAATTCAAACTGGCACAGTTGAAAATAGATACTAATGATAAAGAGAATGTTAAAACAAGGCAGTTAAAATTTCACATTAGAAGAGAAAACTACAACCAAAGATTACAACCAGCAATATAAAAAACAGAATTTTAACTATGAAATTACAACTACAATGTTAACTGGAAAGTTGAAATTAACTATAATGTTAAAACTAACTTTTGACTAGAATATTAGAATAGTGACATTTCCTAGAATACCACATTAGATACTAAAAACTAAACTGAAAGGAAAAAGAAATTTTATTAACTCATGAATGATCAATCAATCAAGAATAAGGTTGGAATGAATCAATCAAGAATGGACATCACTGCATTCGGAGCCTTCCCACATGTGCTCTATCCCCTTCTTCAGGAGCCAACAAAGAGTAGACATGCTAACAGTCCTCACTTTCTCAGTTTTACTCTATTTTCTTTGGTCAAAGAAGACTGTAAAAGGTAAAGGTAAAGTCGGGAGATGTGAAAAGTTAGACAGTATCAAGCTCAGTACACACATTCTGTTGCTCCGGCGATTAATTTTTGTGTGGTTTATTTAGAAATGGAGAATGTTACTAGAAAGTTACAAATGGAAAAGACCCAGCAAATAAAATATAACTACGAAATGAAACAACAAAAATTACTGTATATATTACAGACAACAAAATTACTGTCAATCTAGAACATTTTAATGATACGTGTGGTGCGATGTGAGCCAGAACTCAAGCTTACCTCGACAGGGATCATTTTTCACCAGGAACTCATCCAGTGCAATCCAGCCGCCCCCGACTCTCACCATCACTGTACTGCGCAGGATGCGCACCAACCTCAGTTTCTGGGAATCTCCAAACTGTGAAACGGACAGTACAGGGAAACATGAGCAAAGCCTAGTTCACACAGAATGTTCTTCATATCATAGAATAAAGTCTTTATATGTTCTCTGACACACTGAAAAAACTCCAGCTGTGTCTATGTTCTCCCCGAGGCTGTGAGACTTAACCTAGTTCACACAGAATGTTCTTCATGTGATAGAATAAAGTCTTTATATGTTCTCTGACACACTGAAAAAACTCCAGCTGTGTCTATGTTCTCCCCGAGGCTGTGAGACTTAACCTAGTTCACACAGAATGTTCTTCATGTGATAGAATAAAGTCTTTATATGTTCTCTGACACACTGAAAAAACTCCAGCTGTGTCTATGTTCTCCCCGAGGCTGTGAGACTTAACCTAGTTCACACAGAATGTTCTTCATGTGATAGAATAAAGTCTTTATATGTTCTCTGACACACTGAAAAAACTCCAGCTGTGTCTATGTTCTCCCCGAGGCTGTGAGACTTAACCTAGTTCACACAGAATGTTCTTCATGTGATAGAATAAAGTCTTTATATGTTCTCTGACACACTGAAAAAACTCCAGCTGTGTCTATGTTCTCCCCGAGGCTGTGAGACTTAACCTAGTTCACACAGAATGTTCTTCATGTGATAGAATAAAGTCTTTATATGTTCTCTGACACACTGAAAAAACTCCAGCTGTGTCTATGTTCTCCCCGAGGCTGTGAGACTTAACCTAGTTCACACAGAATGTTCTTCATGTGATAGAATAAAGTCTTTATATGTTCTCTGACACACTGAAAAAACTCCAGCTGTGTCTTATGTTCTCCCCGAGGCTGTGAGACTTCCATTGTATTTGTTCTTGTCTCCTCCCCCCCCCCCCCCTGACTTAAAAAGACAAATACTGCATATAACACCCCCCCTTCCCACACACACAGTAATTCACACACACACCGAGAGACTCACCCTGTACTTGCCCTCTCCGATCTTGTGAATCTTAAACTGTTTGACACACACACACACCGAGAGACTCACCGTGTACTTGCCCTCTTCGATCTTGTGAATCTTAAACTGTTTGACACACACACACAGCGAGAGACTCACCCTGTACTTGCCCTCTCCGATCTTGTGAATCTTAAACTGTTTGACACAGGTACACCGGGACACCTGTCTCCTGACTTCATCCAGAATCTTCTCTGCTTCTGATTCAGGCTTGGGCTGTGGAACAAAAATCATTTCAATACTTTATGATGCCCAACAAAATATGACATGAATGCACAGAAATACTGTATGACGACAGGGAAGGAAATGATGCTAATCAAATACCTTATCACGACAGGGAAAGATAAGATGATAATAAAATACTTTTTGATGACAGAGAAACTTATGACAATAGAATACTTTTTAATGATAGGGGATATATTGACAATAAAATACCTTTTGCTGACAGGGACATTTATGATGACAATAAGATACCTTTTGATGACAACAAACATATGATAAGATGAAAAATAGCAACATTTGACTAAAACAGACCTCTCTGTCAGGTTTGAGTGCAGCAACAAACTCCTTGTAGTTGATGAATCCATCCCCGTCCCTGTCAAATATATCAGCCACGGCCTCCATCTCTAACCGTGAGCTTGGGAATTCTGCACAAAAGAGAAAACCAAATGATCACCAAATATTCTGTAACTTTTCATTCCCAGGCAAAACTGCCAGTTACTGCCCCTGTATTCATCGCTCTTGCGGTGTAAAGCAGGGGTCGGGGTATGTCAGCATGAGGATTTAGGGCCAGATGGCTAGTGCTGTCACCATGTACTGTTCAGGTTAGGTTAGAATTTTAATTTTGCCTCTGAGGGAAAACAATCCCTAACCTTTTCAGAGGATTCGAACTGGGTCTCCCACTTGAAATACCAGAATTCAGCCAGTGGCCCCTCTCTACCTATCTCAAATCTTCAACATGCTACAAAAGATATCCAATATATCGCTATTTTCTTTCTCTTATATGGCTGATAACAGCACTCATCCAGATATATTTATGATTTCTTGACAAACCCATAAAGCTTATACTTTTTTCTGTTTTAAGCTGGTTACTTACACTTCTCAATAATTATTGTCATCAGTATAATAAGGACCCAATCAAAATTATTTCTTCTTCTTCTTCTTAATTATATTCATCGACTGTAAACTCTGGTGGAAAGTTCTGGTTGTTCGTCCACTTCTGGACTTTCGTTCTGTTCCAGAACTTGAGTTTTGTGTGCATATCCATTTTACAGATCTGGCTTATTTATATGCAGACTGCTGGATCCTTGCCTCTCAGTGAATCCTAAGGAAACTCCTAATTAGTCGACTCCTATGACATGCTTGTTGGAACGCCAGTGGGTCTATTCTTTCCCCGCCCCCTCCCACATGTCCTCTCCCACACGCCTCCCTCCCCACAATGGGGTTCCAGAACTCACAAGGGAAGGCCTACCATTCAGAAAGCAATCTCAAACTACTGAATGTAACATTGCAGAGTGAAATCATGAACAGCCAACAAATTCTGGGGTTGCTTTTGCAATGTCCTGTAAAAGATTTGCAATTAACCTTATAAAAAAAAGTTTTTTTGTTTTTTGTTTTGTATAAAATTTATAAAACATCACACACACGGGAACCCTTTAGGTCACTGAAGTAACATGGGAAGACAATTTACTGGAGTGATTAGCACTGATAGAAGACAAGGGCAAATCAAAGCCAACTGTAAAAATATCCCAGCGTTTACTTGCCTTGCAAGGTTTTATATGATACAGACTATGTGGCCTTTTATCAGAAGGTTGATAGTTATGACTCCCTGTCTGAGGTTCAAGGCTGCATTTTTTGGGAACAGACTAATGGCCCCTTTATATGCACGTTGTAGCAGACGGCTAATTAAGGATTTGCTGAAACTGGATGTGTTGGGGGCGAAAGATGCAGACACCACATCCTAGCTGTAACCTACAAGACAATGTGTCAATTGCCCTTCTGAGGGCAGATACAGGAATAGAAGATAGATATTACAATCTGAAACTACAAGAATAAAGTATTACATTTTAATCTAGAAAACAGATATTTTATTATATCATGAGCTAGAAAATTAATGTTTTACATTCTAAAACAAAATGGTCAATTAGATTCTAAACTAGAAAATCAGTGTTTGAGATCTGGAAATATAATCGGAAACTAGAAAATCAACAAATTACAAATAAACTGCTGGAAAATTAATTTGTTACAAACTGCACAACTGTCACGAAAACGTACTGGACATCAATATTCCCTCAATGAACTCCCGCCTGGTGACCCGGCCATCTCGATCTCGGTCCTGCTTCCTGAAGAAGTCAATGATCCGAGCCTTGTTGTGGTTCATCCAGCGCAGGTACCGCTTCCTCCACTCATCAAAGTCAAATGTCTTCAGTCTTTCCATCTGTGAACATGACAAAGAAGCATAATACTCATTAGATGGCAGAATGTTAGAGAGTATAAAGGTGAGTGGATGGACTACATCCCATCTGGCTTAATCTCTCTCTCTCGCTAAAGAGTTGCAGGTCATTTGTGAGAACATAGCACAGACTCTGCAGCTGAAGCAACAACCCATTGAGCAATCTTTGAAACACAGACATTTGCAAACTAAAGGCTTTAGTATGAAATCAAACACCCTAGGCTTCAGAGCACGAGGCAAGACTCAGCAACTTTATCAAGCAAACCCTCACAAAAGCATGCACAAGAATAAACAAACATTATTCTAAACAAAAAAACGCACAGCTACTGAAAAAGACATAATTTTATCATAATTTTGACAATAAATCTCTGTCATTTAATGAGTGAAACTGTTCAAACTGCACATAAGAAACCCTAAGGTTCAACAAAATAACAGAGTACTTCTGCATCTGGGTTATCAATAGTTTTTAGGTTACAGGCTTTCCTGTCAACTAATACAAACGCGCCATCAGATAAATATGAAATTCTATTTGTTTTTTAAAACTGTAAATACTCTGAAGAAAAAGAAGGCGAGAAAGATGAAGACCTGGAGGAAGAAAAGAAGAAGAAGAAGAAAGTCTTCTAATATTTTAAACACAAACATCCAACTGACCTCATTCAAGTAGTCTAAAGCATCCTGAAGCTTGCGCTGTCTGTCCATGGCCATCAGCCACACCTGCCTCCACTTGTTGACTAAGGCACCCACTCGAGGATTATGGAATCCAGGCTCCGGAGTTCTGCGACCTGACAGATGGTCTGGAGTCCTGCGTCCTGACAGATGGTCCGGAGTCCTGCGTCCTGAAACATCTGGTGTTATACGACCAGACACATCTGGGGTTCTGCGGCCACTCGTTTCTGGAGTTCTTTGGATGAACATATGGTCAGGTGTTTTCCTGCTGAAGTAGTCTGGGGTTCTTCGAGCGCTACTGTCAACGTGGTCAATGCTGGATGGGACACACACACAAAAAAAGGATACATTTTACAAGTGAATTCACACATTCAGTTTTTCCCTTTCTACTATGGGATGTACCCATTCTTAAATGGGGGTCGACCAAGGTCCTGGGAAGTAAAGGCAGCCCGGCTAGATGTTGACCTCATCACCCATCGAGTGTTGATTGGTCTATAAAATATAGGTCTAGCCCTATATGCCCAATACACGGGAAGGCATGGAGAAGGATCCTACTATGGGATGTAGAGGTACCTTACAGTCTTGTTTAGTCTGTCCTTTTTAGCATTATGTGTGAAGCTTACTCTCGTATTGATCTTTTTTCCATCATGGAGTGCAGAGGTATGGTATTATCTCCTTTTTTTTTTTCTTAGTTTCTCGTTTTCTCCCACGTAAGCTTTCTTCCTTTTTGAAAACTCTTTGCCTCTCTCTGTCACTCTCCTTCTTTCTATCTCACAATCAGATATGAAAACTAACATATGATACTAAAACCAGCGAGAGCTGACCTGGTGTAGCAGTTAGACGCTTGTGCGTGGATCCAAAGGTTGTGGGTTCAGATCCCAATGAAACCAGACTTTTCCCAAAATGACCTTGGCTCTGAGGTCCACGTCGACCGAGCTTTAAATGGGTACCAGGCAAAAACCTGGAAAGTAAAGGTGGCCGGCGTGATGCTGACCACATCTCCCACCGAGTGCTAATGGCTTAGCAAATGTAGGTCTAGTATTATATGCCCAATACGCCCGAAGACATGGAAAGGGGTCACTTACTTTGTCCTTGACTAAAACCAGAAACAGCTTGAATGTAGCAGATCTGTGACATGATCATTATCATGTCATGTACACATATCACAGCACACTAGCTAAGTGAAGTAGAGGGCCTTTTCTTCGCCAGTGGAGAAGCAACCAGGGGATGCTGGATATATTTTTGTAGTCCAATCAACACTTTGTAGGTGATGTTGTCAACATCATGCTGGCCGTTGTTACTTCCCTGGACTTTTCCTGATATCCATATTAAGCTTCATCTACCCTGGAGCCAAGGTTAATTTTGAAGAAAATAATCCCACCACGGTGCAGATCTGAATCCAAGACCTTTAGGCTAGGAGGCAAGAGTCTAGCCATTACACTACGGCATCTCCCATATCACAACATATTCTCTTCTTCTTCTTTTGTTTGCTTGAAATATATTATCTATATCATCAATAATGACATGACTCATCATTATATATATCATCATTAATGACATGACTCATCATCATCTATCAGCAGGTCTTTATAGAAAGTTGCTCTCGTCACTGCACGCCTGAAAGTCTAGCTGATTCTCCAGCTCTAACTGCTTTCATAGTTAATGCACCTCCAGTGTCTTGAATCCAGGTTCACAAAGGCCTGCCTCTGCCTCATTTTCTGGAAACTGTTCTCTCCGAGCCCACATGATATGATATGACTGATGATACAACTGATGATATGACTGATGATACGACTGATGATATGACTGATGGTATAACTGATGGTAGGACTGATAATATTACTGATGATATGACTGATGATACGACTGATGACATGACTGATGATATGAATGATGATACGACTGATGATATGACTGATGATACGACTGATGATACGACTGATGATACTGACTGATGATATGACTGATGATACGACTGATGATATGACTGATGATACGACTGATGACATGACTGATGATACAACTGATGATACGACTGAAAATATGACTGATGATACGACTGATGATATGACTGATGATATGACTGATGACTAACAAACAGAAAACTCACCGGATTGTGGGAATCTTGGACCGAGGTGTACCTCTGGGCCCCCTGAAGTTTGGAATGTGGGAAGCACTGGAATCAAACCCAGCCTTTCTCTTGTCTGCCCTGGTGATGCGGTCCACATCAGGCTGTTTGCTGGACATATCACTCTGGAAGCTCTGCCACCAGCCCAGACAACAATGTTTGTGAGATAATACAAGTCACTCTGCTTTTTCTTTCACAGGATATTAACATACGTTTTTGTTTTATTTTGTTGTTGTTGCCTATTGTATGCTTGACACATTCTGCATGGAACTTGAGTGGTGTAGTGAATAGTTCACTGACCTTACTCTTTGGAGGTTCCTGAAGCTGAAAACTGGCTCAATGAAGAGCTCTCTAGAACTTGATTAAATCTTCTTCAAGTTCTTGGTGTATAGCTGACCCTGGGTTCAATGAGTCTCCAATATTCTATGTTAATTCCCAAATTGATCTGGCCCACAGCCACATTTTCAACCCTCACACCCAAAGAAAGCCATTTTCCCAGGCTTTTACAGGGTTTGGTAGGCATTTTGTCTATTCCCAGTTCCCAGGCGGCCTGTATGACTGCTTTGGTGGGGACTGTAACTGCCTAGTGTTTAGGCATGGTGGGTGTGATTTATACTGACCTCCAAAAATCGTTTAGATATATCACTGGGGAGGGGAGGGGGGGGGAGGGAGGGGGGGGGGGAGAGGGAGGGGGGGGGGTTGATTTGTAAAACACTGTGACTTCAAATAATTTACTGACTATATCTCAAAACTATCTATGGCAGTAACACAACCACTTCTCTCTCTCTCTCTCTCTCACCTCCGTGTGGGTTCCGGGGCCCCATTGTGGGGAAAACAAGAATAGACCCACTGCCTTCCCAAAAGCATGTCGTAAGAGTCGAGTAATTGGGGAGCTTCCTTTGAAGTCGGAGTGCATCTGCCGGAGAGGCAAGGAACCAACAGTCTGTATTCAAGAGAATGAGATCTGTAAAACTGATGCACACGCAACACTCAGGTTCTGGAGCAGGACTGCAGTTCAGTAGTAGACGAGCAACCAGAACTTTCCGCCAGAGTTTACAGCTGGTAAAAGCGAAGAAAAAGAAGATAAGACGACCACTTCTAAATAGTCGAAGGGAAGGAAATCAGCAATTGCTCCATTTGTATTTCATAATTATTTTCCTTCATGTAGAAATCCGATTTATATATTTAATGACTGGAAAAAATTAATATAATTTAAGTGACATCATCAAAAAAGCAGAGGACTTGACCCCCGCCTGTCTGTTTAGTGGTCTATGGGTTCAGCCTCTAGACCACCAAATGTATCTGCTTCCTCCAGTTTCTTATTGTAACGTTTCAAAGAATTATAAGGATGCGTCTTTAAAACACAAAACTGGAAACAAGTTAATTTTTTAAAACTTTTATGTAGTAATAATAAGATAATAATAATTTTAAAAAAATTAATAAATTATGCAGCAGCTCCTTTCTGCATATTATCTATTATCAAACAAACAGAAAGATGTGGCGTTAAATGTAGAAAATGAAGTAAATAGCTCAAGTTTAACTCAGACAAATATTCTTTTTCAAAATTCTCTCTTTCCTAACTGTTTACACTTTTACCAACCTATTATTATATTTACTTCTTCCCCTTGTGCCAAACTGCACCCAGGCTACTGCTGCCCCTTGGATCATTCCAGTGACATTGTGCTGTAATGTAGCATAAAGAGACACTAGGAGAGACAAAAAACAGGCACAAACCTGATGCTGCTGCCCCCTGGATCATTCCAGAGACATAATGTAACATAAACAAACACTAGGAGAGACAGAAAACAGGCACAAACCTGATGCTGCTGCCCCCTGGATCATTCCAGAGACATAATGTAACATAAACAAACACCAGGAGAGACAGAAAACAGGCACAAACCTGATGCTGCTGCATTAACTCCTCAATGACCTGCTGGTCTCTAGGGATGGGAACCTTGTCCTGTTCTGCCAGTTTGGCTTCAGCACCATTCAACCAGCTGAGAAGTTGCTCCAGAAGCAGGTTGTTCTGTCTTGCAGCAGTTGCTGCTTCCATCAATCTTTTCTGCCTCTGTCGGCTCAATCCCATCAACTGAATGAGCAGAGAAACGCAGGCTCGTATAAAACTCCCAGGCTCCTATAAACCTCCCAGGCTCGTATAAACCTCGCAGGCTCATATAAACCTCGCAGGCTCATATAAACCTCGCAGGCTCGTATAAACCTCGTAGGCTCATTTAAACCTCGCAGGCTCATATAAATCCCACATACTGTTCTATATGACCATACTCTTTTCCTCCTCATTCTTGTTTAAAAAAAATTATAAATGGGAATTTTTTCTTAGAGATACCCACTACAAAGCATTTATGACATAAGTACTGAAAAAAAAATGTCTAAAAGAAGGTGTGGGTACTGCACACTGTTGCATACTGCCAATACAAAAGCCCTGGCCATAACCCTGCACAACTCTTTTCTCCGCAATTTTGGTTACTTACAATAAAGTGAATAATTTAACAACTGCTTATTTTAGACACAATAATAAATCTATGCTAGGTGTAACCAGGAAAGATCGACTTAGGAACTATGATATCAGGAAAAGACTCAGCACAGAACCAATACTGAACTTAAAAGGTAGACAACAAAGCAAATGGTTAGGCCATGTAACAAGACTGGCATCAGACATGGCACCATAGAGAGCAAAGTTATACAGATACAATGGTAACAGGCTGGCCATGCACAAGACAGACCGCAGAAATACAAGACACTGAAAATTATTCTGTACAAAGCGAACAGAAGGGCCCTTTCCAGAGTTCTCTTCCTGCCCTGAGACAAGCAGAGACAGGAATCCCAGGAGTAGAGAAAAGTAGAAGAAAGAAGAATATTTATAGGGTAAACAATGACATTCCTGGCATACAAATTTTAAGTCATCTAAAATTAGACTTTTTTAATATTACACAATGGTATTCCTTTTTTTTATAATGACCAATGCAAAGGATACTTAATATAATACCTGTCTGCTTTACTGAAGATAATACAAAATACAATACTTTACTGCATATGTAATTATGCTTTTTTACTAAACAAAAAAAAACTGCCAAACTCAATTATATTTACATGTACTGATAAACAACTTATGATAACGACCTGACCAACACATGACTGCAGGTGACCCCTGGCCAGTGTCACTGTTACAGGTGCCCTAATTATAACTTCATTGGAGCTTGAAGGGTGTGTGGTTGATGGTTGGTTTAAAACATCTCGATCTGCCATCCAGATTAGGATTTTTAAATCCGAGTATTGTATGGGCAAGCGTTAGGTAGCATGCCAGAGTGGACAAACTGATAGATGGATCGAGCTGATGATAACAAGGAACTTATACCTCCTCCCATCGAGTCCGCAGCACTCCGAGCCAGTGCTTCATGGTAGAGACAGCATCTTGATGGCATCGCTTCATGATCTCCTGGCCTATGTTCAGCGTCTCCCTCAGCACAGCCTCTTTTCTCAGCATGGACTCCTCAAACTTCTGCAACAAGCAACAGAATCTAACCTTACAGTGTCAATTAGTTTAACTTCTTCTTCTTCTTCACGTTCACTGGCGGTTAACTCCAGCAGAAAGTTCTGGTTATTAGTCCACCTCTGGACTTTAGTCTTGTTCCAGAACCTGAGTGTTGGGTACATATCAATTTTACAGACCTGGCTTATTTGCATGCAGACTACAGGTTCCTTGCCTCTCAGTCACAGATGCACTCCCACTTCAAAGGAAGCCTCCAGTTATTAGACTCCTATGACATGATTTTGGGGAGGCAGTGGGTCTACTCTTGGTTTTCCCCACAATGGGGCCATGGAACCCACAAGGGGAAGTTAAACTATGAGCAACATCCTGTAACACAACTAATTCATCAACAAATACAGTAGAGGATTAAGGAGTTTAACATGAAACTCCAAAGAAAGTTGTCCCAGTTCAATCCCCAGGGGAGACAGTATTTCTGTTTCAGATAAGTACATCTCTTGGTGTCATGTGCACATCACGCACTGAATTACACCAATGCCGAATGATACCAATACTATGTAAGAAGTTGTTGAGAACTGTCATATTGTTATGAGATTTAGCTCCAAGGAGATTTCCCAGAAGAGCAGTCAATGTAACAGGATGTGTTGGTCGGAGTTCTATGGATCTCAGCAGAAGATGACTGGATACCACAGTAAAGAACAGAATTATCGTGCTGGGACATGGTTAATCACTATGTCTGTCTCTGGCAGGAATTATTAATATAAGGTACAAGGTTGAGTATCAGCGTTTCAGTTGGATATAAGACATAACTGAATCGTTATAGACATTTCAAGGTCAAGATGATGATCCTATGGCTGCGGATGTGAATCCAATCTTCTTAGAGAGCTCCAATGAGAATAACAGGACTGATTTAGTTGATGTTAAATTCTGACCTGTTGTCACTTATCATGTCTGCAGAACCTCATCGGAATGGGACATATGATAATACACTTATGTTACATTCTGCGCATGGTCTTGTCAAGTTACATAACATTTTTATATCTTTGAGTTCATCATTATTGTTGCTAGTTGTCCTAGGGGCATTTTGGGCATTTCAGATTGTTCCCACAGGACGTTTCATTTACCGTTCACGGGGAATTTTGTTCTGTTGTAACCCTAGATTTGGTTTTGGAGTTTTGCTAATTTTGTTTCCCTGGTGTGTTGACTCGATATCCAAACTGATCGCCACATACATCACTGAAGACTTGCAGTAAGCATTATCATGGAAAATCACACACTTCACTCGGGTCCACTCAGCCTCATAAAAATTGGTTAAAAGTTAGTTGCGGTTATTAAAAGTTAGTTGCAACAAACAATTTCTGGGGTTTGCAACATCATATAAAGAATATGCATTTAGCTTGTAACAACAGGCTTAATGTGAGTTTTTGAACGCCTATGATCCATTGGACAAAGAGAAGCAGGAGGAGGAGAAGAAGAAGTAGAAGCAACAAAGGAGCAGATATTATTATTACCTTATGGTCATGAGTCTGCTGGGCAATGAGAGACTCTTCATCAGGAATGACACCTTTGAACCTCAACTCCCTTTCAGCACTGGCCAGCCAGTCCAGCAAACCATGGGCCTTGTCGTGGAACTCTTCAGCCTGCCAGGACACACATGTAACTCATAATGTAAACATCTCAGTTTAATACAGGATGGATGCACAATCCCTAATGTTCACATGTTCATACATTAGATAGTTTATTTTTTTATGCTGAAGCAAGGAATTCAAGATTCACTTTTTCACCCCAAGCTGCCACTATACCAGCATCATCATCCTTTACAAATCACAGAGAAGCACTGAAACTGGCATTGCTGCATCTTGTTAATGGCATTGTTTCTGTCTGCGACTGTGCAGTGTTTAAGAACAAGATATGGTATATTTACTTAAAAAAAAATACAGCATCTGTTGGGTGGGGGGAGGGGAAGATTTTACTGTGAAAACTTTTGTCATGATGGTATCATATGACATGACAATTCACTTCAGCAATTGCCCCGCTCTGGAGTCATGCCATGAATAATCGTAGAAATTTGTTCAGACCACATATTCCATTTATTTATCGGCTCCATTCATGTTTCTTATTACCCATCCCCCCCCCCCCCTTTTCATATATATATATTTAAAAAAAAATTTGTTTAAAATGTATATAAATATATTTGAATGAAATATATTCTTCTTGACCGGTGTAAAGTGTTTTTATTTGTAGTTTTAAAAAATAAACGGGGAAGGGGGGGGGGGGGGGGTTTCTTGTGTTAATTAAATTTGTCTCCAAGGTTGCTGGGGCGAAAGGGTTAAAGATGTAATCAGACAACACCGACATGAACCAAGGGACAGCACTCACCAATGTGTGTGCATGCTCCAGCCTCTCCTGTTTGCTGACACTGAGCTTGCACACCCGGTCCCACAGGGCAGACAACTCAATCAAGTGGGACTGCACGTGGGACATGTCTTCACTGGCCTTCTCCAACAGATCTTTGGCTGACTTGCGGACAAACTGGATTGTTTGGGCCCGGGCCCCTAACTCCTGTTGGAATGCCTGTGTGTGGAAAGCCAAGTAGATGGATAAATACACACACACACACACAAAATAAGAACAGAGAAACAAAATATGGGTAAGAGGTAGAGACAATACAAGAAATAAAAGGGCAAAGGACAAATAACAGACATTACGAGAAAAAAAAGTCAGATTAAAGGAGGGAAGACAGAAATGGGAAGGCATTAATAACCAAATTATTCTTTCGGGTTTTTAAAATCTTCCATTCACACAACAATACCCTCCCTGATCCATATTTTTATCTTATATTCACACAACAATACCCTCCCTGATCCATATATGTTTGTACCTTTGATTCACACAACATTCCTCTCCCTGACCCATATATGTTTGTACCTTTGATTCACACTACATTCCTCTCCCTGATCCATATATGTTTGTACCTTTGATTCACTCTACATTCCTCTTCCTGACCCACATATGTTTATACCTTTGATTCACACTACATTCCTCTCCCTGATCCATGTATGTTTGTACCTTCGATTCACACTACATTCCTCTCCCTGATCCATGTATGTTTGTATCTTTGATTCACACTACATCCCTCTCCCTGATCAATATATGTTTGTATCTTTGATTCACACTACATTCCTCTCCCTGATCCATATATGTTTGTATCTTTGATTCACACTACATTCCTCTCCCTGATCCATGTATGTTTGTATCTTTGATTCACACTACATCCCTCTCCCTGATCCATATATGTTTGTATCTTTGATTCACACTACATCCCTCTCCCTGATCCATATATGTTTGTATCTTTGATTCACACTACATCCCTCTCCCTGATCCATATATGTTTGTACCTTTGATTCACACTACATTCCTCTCCCTGATGCATGTATGTACCTTCGATTCACACTACATTTTTCTCCCTGACCCATATATGTTTGTACCTTCTATTCACACTACATTCCTCTCCCTGATCAATATATGTTTGTACTTTCGATTCACACTACATTCCTCTCAGCAGCAACGTATGATGCATGAGCTGAACATTTTAATGTTGTGACATCAGAGTTAACACACAAGTTACTTTCTACATGTTTTTGTTTCTGTGTTTGGTTAGCTGTCATACAGGCCATGAACTATTGCCCCTACTTTGAGGGGCTGCGTCTGTGAAACGGTTGAGGAACACTGGTTTAGAAGGACGTGGTGTAATTATTTTTACTAACAAAAAGCATGTTAGGAAAAGGAAGGAAGGGGCTATTGCAGGAAAAGAATGGATTTTCCATAGGAATTTACAGGTTCAAGGTTTTCCCAAAAGGATCTTAGGGCGGAAGGGTTGAGGGACTATGCTTCATTAGGAGGAGGAGGGGGAGAAGAGAGAAGCACAGATAACAACACACACACAACAAATCAACAACACAGCAACAGTCACCTTATGGGCCTCCAAGAAGCCACTGACGGTATCAAGATCTCCATGGACTGGAGTATCCTCAGCCAAAGAGGGTTCTACTTTGGCCAGCCAGTCCAAGAGAGCCTCTAGAGCCACATTAAACTGCCCTGTGAACAGCAAGCCTTCCTCTAGCTTGCGCTGCCTGTAACAAAAACAACCACAATTTGTGGTCCAAACAGAAATGCGCATGTATTATTACTGTGTATTAGTCCTCGATTCACACACATTTGTTTTAACACATAGCTTTAGGCTTTTTCGGTCCCTTTGAATTCATGTTAACGAGGTTTTACTTACTTTCCCCAGCTGTCACTGCCGACAATTTTTCTCAAAGGTAAAACATTTGCCTCTAATTAGACAGTTACGAGTTTGAATCTGTGTGGATGACACTAAACATAATTCCCCTGAGAATGTTAGACTTCCTCAATCCTGTGTTAAAGACTGGATGTGAGTCAAAAAAACTGATTTAATGGTGGAAGCTGTCTCAGCAGTCCTTGGACTAAATAACCTGCCAGAACATGTCTTCTTCTTCTTCTTCGATCCTTCTGTCAGAAAACTTACATCAGGAGGCCGGAAGAGTTATTTGGAAGTTATCGTGCAGTCCATATCTTCTCATTTACCATACAGCTTTGTCTTCACTGTGGTTGGAACAGGCCAGATCTGTTGTCAGCATACAGTTGATAGTGTTGGAGCACATGCTCAGCATTTTTGGGCCCTAAGTTGCAGGGGCATGTCTCTGTGTTTCCTATGTCAAAACGCTTCATCATATGTTGATGAAGTCTGATGTGCCCTGTTCTTAGTCTGAATATAATACACTGTCCCTCTCTAGAGAGGCGATGAAGTGAGTCTTGAGAAGAGAATTTGGTGTGTGTGTATCCAACCACCTTTCTTGGATACTAGATTGTTTTAGTGTCTTAGTCTTAAGTCACTATTTGGTTGAACTATGTCACTGCCACTTCTGGCCAATCTGTCCACTATTTGCCTGCCTTCCAAGTCACAGTGACCTGGAATCCACTGTAATACAGATTGTTCTAGTGAAGAGCCTAAGTGAATCAGCTGTTGTGTCAAGTCTACAAACTGCGTGTCTTTTGGGTTAACAACTGGTTGTAGAACTGATGTAGTCAGAAAGAACACTCTGCTATATATGCTGTGCTGTTGTCCATTCAGAGAAAAAAATTCCACAAGAAGTGCATCTGCCTCTCTCCATATCTTTAACCATATCAACAAAGTTATCTTTAAAACAGTGTGAAAGTTGATAAAAGAACCACAGATTTCACCTGTCAACAGATCTGCCACAGACAGCATTCCACCTGTTCTTCAGATCAGTCAGCAAAGCCTGGATGGCCGGCTTGTCGTCTGCTGGACATCTGTCCTGTACAGCACTGCCAGCCCTGTTGATGCCGTCGTAAACTGGTTGTTTACCCCCCAGGCGACGCTGGAACTCCTGCAACAAATGGAGGATCATTTCAAAATGGTGATCTCTCAGGCTGGGAGGTATTGAGAGAAAGGTAGATAACAGAGAAACAAAAACTGCACACACAAAATAGCTGAAACAGGAGCATACCATGAAGTGCACCAAGAAAATGGTGGAGAGATAATATAACATACAGACATACAAACATGTCTAGTCACCACCAACTGGCGATAGAAGGCCAATCAAGAGATGGAGTCACAGTATCATGAGGGGCGAGCTGGTCAGCTACCTTCTTTAGATCTTTGTCATTTCTGAAGAAATCCATGGTAGACATCTAATGATTCTAGAGGAAATTCAAAGGAGCTGATGCACCTGGCTAGACTTTCTATTGGTCTAGACTCTCTGCCTCTCGTTTGGGTTCCGGGACCCCCATTGTGGGGAAAACATAGACCCACTGCTTCCCCAACAAGCAGGTTGTAAGAGTCGACTAACTGGGGCTTCCTTTGAAATCCAAGCGCATCTGCCTGACAAGCAAGGAACCAACAGTCTGCATACAAATAAGCTAGATCTGTAAAATGAATGTGCATAAAAACTCCGGTTTTGGAACGAGACCAAAGTCCAGAGGTGGACAAACAACCAGAACCTTCTGCCGGAGTTGACAGCCAGTGAACACTAAGAAGAAGATGTCTCTACAGGACGCAGGGGGTGGACACAACAGCTGGTAACAGAAGAATTAACCATGGTCACCAATGTTAGGAAACCTGTAAGGATGATGAACTTTCCTCACTGTCAGACTGCAAGAGAGTCCCAGCAATTCCTCTTGACGACTATCCTCCCCCAAGTCTTGTACTCACCACTTGAAGAATATGCAAGCAGGCCCAAAATGAGTGTTTTCTTTGTTTACATGTAATAATTGCAGTCAACTCTCACACACAAATTCACTGGTGGACAACTCTCACACACAAATTCACTGGTGGATAACTCTCACACACAAATTCATTGGTGGACAACTCTCACCCACAAATTCACTGGTGGACAACTCTCACACACAAATTCACTGGTGGACAACTCTCACACACAAATTCACTGGTGGACAACTCTCACACACAAATTCACTGGTGGACAACTCTCACACACACATTCACTGGTGGGCAACTCTCACACACAAATCCTCTCATGGACAACTCTCACATACAAATTCACTGGTGGACGACTCTCACACACAAATTCACTGGTGGTCAACTCTCACACACAAATTCACTGGTGGGCTACTCTCACACACAAATCCTCTCATGGACAACTCTCACATACAAATTCACTGGTGGACGACTCTCACACACAAATTCACTGGTGGACAGGTTGAAACCAAATACAAAACTAACCAACCTTGTGTTTGGCAATCTGAACCTTGATCTTGTCAGGCTCATTGCTAACTGTAGTTTCTGAATCCAAGGCCTGTTCTGCCTCCTTCAGCCACTGAACCAAGTCCTTCCACGAATCATAAAACTGAAAAATCAAATGTTTTGGTTTCAATAATGACACCACTAAAAGAAAAAGGCATTTCTTTTTTTTTTCTGTCATCCTTCTGTCAGAAAACTATCGTACAGTCCAAATCCACCTGGGTACCAATGGCATCTGTTGAAGAACACTTTAAAAGAGAATTCCCAAATGCTTCTGCTTCAAGACCCTGTTGGGGAATCAGCCATACCACATAGAGGTGCTGCAAAGACCTGATCCTAGCACTGAGATATCAGCTGGATATCCACCTGATTAAATTCTCCCCCAAATTGATTGGCTTTCTTTGACTCCCAGTGAAGCATAGGTTGTAAACTAAAATATACCACATCCTTGCACACATTAAGACCACGAAGTAGCGCTAGAACCCTAGTATGAAACAAGATACATGAAAGCCACGAAGTAGCGCTAGAATCCTGGTATAAAGCAAGATACATGAAAGCAGACTCTAAATATGATACTATGAAGGCAAAAAAAAAGAAGACAGAAAAGAGAATGGAGGAGGAAGGCAAAGAATGGAAGCAGAAAGAAAGAAAAAGATCCACCATACAAGACTATGATTCTTCCAAAACAAGACAAGCACACTTGAATACTTTCAGCCCACCTGTTTGGCCTCCTTGTAACCCCTCTCAAGATGTCTGGTTCGTTCAGCACTCCTGGAGACAATCTTCTCCCAACGATGCTGGGCGCTGGACAGCAAGTTCTTGATGAGAACCACATCATGCTTCTGACTGAAGTACTTCAGGTGGGTGCCCATCTTATCTAGGGCAAACATGGCCTCCCGGTGGTCACTGACGTCCTTCTGAAGCACCTGTAAGGTCAACACAAAGGTCAGTCTGATGGTCAAGGAGACTGAGATATGAAGTTAAAATGAACAAATGAAATAACCAACAAACAAACTTTATTTTCTAAGGGTCACAAACTGGGTATGCAGGCCCATCTTACATTGGGCCCTCCCAAACACTCATCTTCCATACTGTCATTGTATTTGATCTTTGAAGCATGTTATGTTCATATAACATTACACATACTATGAGTAACAAGTAAAATGCACAGAAACATTGATGATAGATGCATACATTCAAATATACCAAACACACATATTAATGAGAGGAGGTGAGCGATTCCTGTCTTAATTCCCAAATAAGTCTCCTGTACTCAATTTAACAAACTAACTGGCTCTAAATTGTATATGGTCAAGATCTACAAATATCCCTGCATACAGAAACTGTAATCTACTAACTATTGCACTATTGAGAAGAAACTCGCAGAGAATCAACCAACAGGCATTGCAATGAGAAATAAAGGGATGGAGGAATAGAAACCTAAATACCAAAGCTGATGAGAGAGGCCAAACATGCTGGACTGGATTCTATCCATGAAATAGAAAGGATTGCACAGGACAGATTGGAATGGAGGAGCAGAATGTCAGTACTAAGTGACATACAATGGCACATGAGAATTAGTGCTAAGTGACATACAATACATGAGAATCAGTACTAAGTGACATACAATGGCACATGAGAATCAGTACTAAGTGACATACAATGGCACATGAGAATCAGTACTAAGTGACATACAATGGCAAATGAGAATCAGTACTAAGTGACATACAATGGCACATGAGAATCAGTACTAAGTGACATACAATACATGAGAATCAGTACTAAGTGACATTCAATACATAAGAATCAGTACTAAGTTACATACAATGGCACATGAGAATTAGTGCTAAGTGACATACAATACATGAGAATCAGTGCTAAGTGACATACAATACATGAGAATCAGTACTAAGTGACATACAATGGCACATGAGAATCAGTACTAAGTGACATACAATACATGAGAATCAGTACTAAGTGACATACAATACATGAGAATCAGTACTAAGTGACATACAATACATGAGAATCAGTGCTAAGTGACATACAATACATGAGAATCAGTACTAAGTCATTTGTCTATCAACTTACCCCAAGATCTATCTGTACATTATTTCTCTGTCAACATACCCCAAGATCTATCTGTGCATCATTTGTTTGTCAACATACCCCAAGATCTGTCTGTACATCATTTGTCTTTCAACATACCCCAAGATCTATCTGTACATCCTTTGTTTCTCAACATACCCCAAGATCTATCTGTAAATCATTTGTTTCTCAACATACCCCAAGATCTATCTGTAAATCATTTGTTTCTCAATATACCCCAAGATCTATCTGTACATCATTTGTCTGTCAACATACCCCAAGATCTATCTGTACATCATTTGTCTGTCAACATACCCCAAGATCTATCTGTACATCATTTGTCTGTCAACATACCCCAAGATCTATCTGTACATCATTTGTCTTTCAACACACCCCAAGATCTATCTGTACATCATGTGTCTGTCACCATACCCCAAAATCTATCTGTACACGATTAGTCTGTCAACATACCCTATGATCTTCTATCTGCCGAGTGACCCTGTCTACAAGTCTGCTGACCGGCTGCAGGTTGTTCAGTATCTTCTCCGTGTCAGTTAACCAGCCAATGAACTTGTTCAACTCCTCATGAAAATTCTTGGCCAGGACAACAGCATCTTCCAGTTTTTTCTAGCAAACAATTCAGTAGAAATGAACAAGTTTTCAATGGGAAATATCCAGTAACTACTATCTGAACAACAATCAGGTAGTTTGAATCTCATTAATACAATGACTGACTAATTAAAATAAACAAGAAACTGGTTTAAATGCAATTCTTACTAATCACATAGTTTAGTGCAGCTGTCACGTATTTCATCACTATTTAGATAGCAGCTCATTAATATGTCAGGTATTTCATTTCTAATTTGGCAGCAAGTCATTACCATGTCAGATATTTAATTTCTAATTAGACAGCAGCTCATTTATTTGTCAGATATTTCATTCCTAATTAGACAACAGCTCATTAATGGCTCAGATATTTCATTCCTAATTAGACAGCAGCTCATTAATGGCTCAGCTATTTCGTTCCTAATTAGACAGCAGCTCATTAATGGCTCAGCTATTTCGTTCCTAATTAGACAGCAGCTCATTAATATATCATGTTTTTTATTCCTAACTAATCAGTGGCTCATCAATATGCCATCTACTTAACTCCTAAATAATTAGATAGCAGTTTGTACCCATAAAATGTAATTGAATTTCTAATTAAATAGACAGCAGCTCATTATTATACCATATTTTATTTCTAATTAACTGTAATTTCTAATTAGCAGCTCATTAATATATCATGGATTAAACATCTAATTAACTAAACAGCAGCTCTTTAATACAACATATGTATAATTTCTAGCAAACTGGACAGCTAATTAACTAGGTCATGAACCCACTTACCCTCCTGTCAGTGGCTCTGCCTTTCATATGGTCCCACCTCTGATGGAGGTTTGCCATGTTATACCTGATGCTGGCGGCGGGAGCTCCGTGGCTCTTGGTGGCCAACTTCTCAGACATCAGTTGGAGACTCTGTATCGCTGGCTCTAGCTTGTTCATCATCTCATAGACTTCCTGCACACAGAGGTCCTCAAACAGTGAGTAACGTTACGGTACAGATCCTTTAAAGTTCACATAAAGGACTGCATTTCACACATACCACGTTACATATTTTCACGATGAAGTGACCTTCTCTCATAAATTTAAAAACAGTGCTGTGTCTATCTCAACAGGGGTAACCACCACAATAATTTCCAAAGACTTTATGGTTTGTCTGGCTCTGTATGTAAGACAACAGACTTTTAATATGAGGGACTTTTTCTTCTTCTTCTTCTTAGTTTACCAGCTGTAAACTCTGGCAGAAAGTTCTGGTTGTTTGTCAACCTCTGGACTTTGATCTTGCTGCAGAACCTGACTTCAAAACTCAAGTTCTAAAACAAGACCAATGTTTAGAAGTGGATGAACAGTTAGAACTTTCCACTTGAGTTTAAAGTCAGTGAAAACTAAGATGAAGAAACTCTAAATGGCATGAACAGCACCCTGTCCCAACGGTGAGGTATTCTGACCATGTTAAATGTTATGGTGGTCTAGAGAAAGGCCATGACAAAGGGTAGAGGCAGAGGGAAACCTCCGCCAAGGTGGATACAAGACACTGAATTCCTTTTATCCCCCAGGTAATCCGGGGTGATAGGGTCTGAAAAGCATGTACTTAGTTTCAATACCTAGTGAGGGTACTCAACACGGCCAGCTCGATTTATAAGGCTGTACAGCTCAAACGGGAATTCCCATTCTTGTGCAAGAATTGAGTCCCTCTGTGTCCACAGTTTTTATCGAGGAGATGTATACACAAATTAAACTACAGTTTCATTAATTTTCGACATATTTTTTAGAACTATACGTCATTTTTAAGGTAAATAAGTGTGCCGAATAAATATAACAATAAAGGCTCTTACAGACAACAAAAATGCTTTTGCTACAGTCAACATGAACGTAAACATCAATAACATTTAGATGTAAACTAAAAGTTGCTCCAGCAAAAGTAAACAAATAGTGCTAACTCTTTGATTCTGAGAGGGTATTGATGCATCAGAGGAGAGGGGGAGGGGGGGGGGGGGACGACACATTTGTACTTTATCAAATTTAGCGCATAAAAATACTGCCTTGAAAAATACACATCATACATAACATAAATATAAATGATTGATGGTTATTATTATTATTATTAGACTACAACAACATATAATTATACTGTTATTTAATAATTAGTAAACAAGCACAATCAGTATGAAATTGATATGTGCAATACTTTTTTCACCCAGAGTAGTTTTCTTAACAGTACTTATAGCACTACTAAATATGTATCCTCAAGGTACAAACAAAATTGCCCAGTTTCATCTTGTTGGATGAAATCAATTCCTTATCATTGTGAATTTTTTGGTAACAAATATGCATAGGAAGTGGATGAACAACCAGAAGTTTCCTCAAGAGTTAACAGCCAGTGTTCGGGAAGCAAAGCAAAAGCCAGTTTACAAAAATTAACACAGACCGTACAACTGCAAATATGCAAAAGAAGTCGATGAGCAACCAGAAGTTTCCGCAAGTGTTTACAGCCAGTGTTCGCGAAGCAAAGCAAAAGCCAGTTTACAAAAATTAACACAGACCGTAGAACTACAAATATGCAAAAGAAGATGAGCAACCAGAAGTTTCCGCTAGAGTTTACAGCCAGTGTTCGTGAAGCAAAGCAAAAGCCAGTTTACAAAAATTAACACAGACAGTAGAACTGCAAATATGCAAAAGAAGTCGATGAGCAACCAGAAGTTTCCGCAAGAGTTTACAGCCAGTGTTCGCGAAGCAAAGCAAAAGCCAGTTTACAAAAATTAACACAGACCGTAGAACTGCAAATATGCAAAAGAAGATGAACAACCAGAAGTTTCCGCAAGTGTTTACAGCCAGTGTTCGCGAAGCAAAGCAAAAGCCAGTCTACAAAAATTAACACAGACTGTAGAACTGCAAATATGCAAAAGAAGATGAGCAAGCAGAAGTTTCCGCAAGTGTTTACAGCCAGTGTTCGCGAAGCAAAGCAATAGCCAGTTTACAAAAATTAACACAGACCGTAGAACTGCAAATATGCAAAAGAAGTCAATGAGCAACCAGAAGTTTCCGCAAGGGTTTACAGCCAGTGTTCATGAAGCAAAGCAAAAGCCAGTTTACAAAAATTAACACAGACCGTAGAACTGCAAATATGCAAAAGAAGTCGATGAGCAACCAGAAGTTTCCGCAAGTGTTTACAGCCAGTGTTCATGAAGCAAAGCAAAAGCCAGTTTACAAAAATTAACACAGACCGTAGAACTGCAAATATGCAAAAGAAGTCGATAAGCAACCAGAAGTTTCCGCAAGAGTTAACAGCCAGTGTTCACGAAGCATAAGTCAAATGGTTAAGGATTAATATTATTAGTGTACTGCTACAACATATAATTATCCTGTTAGTCAACAATTAGTAAAGAGGCAAAGAGTGACTTGCTGTGAGAGGTTAGTTAGTAAATTAAATATTATTTTCATCCACTTACCTACAGCTCCGAAATATCCTGACACAATTTATCCATAGCGTGGTTGCACCATTTATGCACAGTCAATATGAAAGCAATAGTTTTCTTCAAACACAAGATAGTTTGCACCTGACAACTGTCGATATTCTCCAGATATGGCTTCTAAATTACCTATTTGTATTATCCATAAAAGTAAGATTTCTACATTTAAAGTAGAAAAGTAATAAACAGCCAGTTCCCAAAAATCCGAACTACTGACTAGAAACAGTGACACTGACACACACATCACAACACGACTGTCTCCCGTGAATTACAATTAAAATTGCTGTAATCTAACAGCCTGTGTGTCCACTTTACAATATCCGCTTGTCGATTTGTAATACGAATACAATCAGAACACAGAAGTTTGTAAGCATATTATAATGTCACAAAATGCAACATGGAAGCGCTTGCAGTAACCTATTTCCGAGGGGGACTCAGCTAAAATGTGCCGTGATTCAGTTGTACGGCCTTATAAATCTGGAGCTAGCTGTGGTATTCAATACCTAGGCATTTACCAGTAGTGCAAAGTCTGTGGGTTACAAGTGACATTTGATAAATAATAAAGTATTCTCAAACAACAGACCAGAAATCTCTCCAGCTGCTCCCTGGCAGTTTCAGGCAGGCCTCCCACTGGCTGCGATGTGATCATGTGACTGTCTAGGCTGTTGATCTTCACCAGGATGTCGTGTAACTCTTCGGTAAAGCCACGGGCCTGGAAATCCAACAAGACACCCATTCAGCATGATATAAATCACAATTTTTTTTTAAATAGGGCATAAAATGTTTTGCTAAACATGAACACTAAACAGGTAACCAAAGAAGAATAGTAAACCAACAAAGAATTGGCGTTATCATTCGTCACACGCTGAGGGATATACTCAAGATGGAAGCCAAGCATTTATGGATTTGTCAAATGTATAATGTGGATAATTTTTCGATAAACTAATCTAACTAACCAGGACTCTCAGGTCTATGTGAGGGGCACACCACACAGCAAAATATGTTCGCCGTCAGAAGTGCAAACATATATTCTTCTTCCTTTGTCTTACTGCTTACGCTGTAATGTGTAACAGAGAGTAGTTACAAGTAGTTTCCTGATTTCTGCTAGTGGTATAGCTTGTGTTAATATCACATTGTGTTTCTTTAGTGTCTCTCGATTCACCCATCTCTTTCTTGGTCTGCCTCTTGTCTTGTAGCTTGCTGTCCCCATGTAGTACCCTAGGCAAAATATCATAAAGATCATGGGACTACTGGATTGTAGAAAAAGAGGACAAAATACAGAACAAATTCATGAACACTGCGTATTGATATGGGAAAGAGTAAACATCAGTTAACCAGCAAACATATACATTTGCCAAATATATACAGCTTTACCAAGAGAAAATATGAACCTGTGTTACATTTAAACATTTGTCACAAAGTCTAGCAGATTAATAAACAGTATACACAAAGTTCAACAGCCCAATAAACAGTGTACTCAAAGTTCAACAGACTATTAAACAGTGTATACAAAGTCTAACAGATTATTAAAAAGTGTAGTCAAAGTTTAACAGACTATTAAACAGTGTTCACAAAGTCTAGCAGACTATTAAACAGTGTACACAAAGTTCAACAGACTATTAAACAGTGTACACAAAGTTCAACAGACTATTAAACAGTGTACTCAAAGTTTAACAGACTATTAAACAGTGTACATAAAGTCTAGCAGACTATTAAACAGTGTACACAAAGTTCAACAGACTATTAAACAGTGTACACAAAGTTCAACAGACTATTAAACAGTGCACACAAAGTTCAACAGACTATTAAACAGTGCACACAAAGTTCAACAGACTATTAAACAGTGCACACAAAGTTCAACAGACTTTTAAACAGTGTACACATAGTCTAATAGACTATTAAACAGTGTACACAAAGTCTAACAGATTTAACAGTGTATACAAAGTCTTACAGAGTATTAAACTGTACTCAAAGTTCAACAGACTATTAAACAGCGTATACAAAGTCTAACAGAGTATTAAACAGTGTACTCAAAGTTCAATAGACTGTTAAACAGAATACACAAAGTCCAACAACTCTATCAGTCTCAAAGCACCATGGGTCCTGGATATTACTAAAGTGCACCAGTCAACATATTTTGTATATTTGGACCAAAATAACCATTTTTAAAGCTTGCATACTCTGCTACGGTAGTAGGATTGGACTCTATATGCTTCTCAAGAAAAAGGGTTCAATACTTTCCACAAGGGCTGTTACTAAAGCAAAGATGCCTGTGTTGGTTGGGACATGTCTCTCGCAAGTAGAATGGTCACATTCTAAAGAATTTCCTGTATGGTGAAATGGTAACAGGGAGAAGATCTGCAGAGAGGTCAATGTTATGCTATAAGAACATATGCAAACGCGACCTTAAAGATAACATTAACACAGATATTTGGGAGGATCAGTCGCAGACCAACTCCTTTGGAGGCAGACACTGAAAGATGGACTATCGCAGTTTGAAAGAAGCCAAACATAGCAAGCTATAGAGAGGAGACACCTGAGAGAAAACCAGCCTTAGAAAGATAGTCAAGATTTTAGTGGACTTTGTAGCAAAAACTAAACCAAGCAAGATGATAACTTTGACCGCTACACACTGACAGCTACACACTGACCGCTACACACTGACCGCTACACACTGACCACTACACATTGACCACTACACACTGACCACTACACATTGACCGCTACACACAGCCAGACAAACACAGGATACAAACAGCTGCTGTGTTTGTGCAGTGGTCAGATGCCCGCTAGTCTGAAGATCTTGGGTTTTAATCGACCAGTCCCAAAAATGGCTCCCAGACTGACACAGCCAAAAAACGGACACCAGAAAATGTAATGGGAAGTAAAAGTGGCTTGGCAATGCTGACATAACCCACCAAGTGCCAACTAGTCTATAAAAATATAAGCATCATATGTCCAATGGGCCATTTACATGAAAATGTATCTTGAACACAAACAGCTAGAGGACAACTCTTGAGGACTACATTGAGCTCATATTTCATTATGTTACCTCTCTCCTGGCATCTTCCAACTGTGACTGTCTTTTCTTGGCTTTTTCTTTCATCATGTTCCAGTCTGTCACTAGGTCTTCCATCTTCTTCTTGAGGGAACTGCTCTCAGTTGTGTTATCTCTAGCAATTATCTTGCCAGTTTCTTCAGAAAGTGAGTGCAGATTATCCTGATGGACTGCGATATCATTTCGGACAATCTGGCAAATGGAGATGACAACAATCAATTGTTAAAGTGATATGAACAGCATGACAGTAGATAGTGTGGCAGCCTACTTGTAAGATGGCCTAGGTTTAATCTACAGTTTATGGATATTTGTAATAACCAATAAAACAGCGGTGGAAGTGAACCTGAAAGAGCAGCAGCTGCCTTGGTGATAGAGTGCAATGGGAGACAACTGTGATTGCAGCCAAGAATCTTACCGGCTTCAGAAGCTATAAAAAAGACAAGAAGACATGCTTCTCATCCATTCTCATCAAGTGGTGACAATTGCAAATTTTTTCAAGCAATGTAATCTTGAAAGTGTAATCTTCCAGGGAATACTTTAGGGCACAAAGAAGATGCAGGCAGACAAAAAATGTACTGATAAAATTAAATCATGGACCAAGAACATAAAATCATGGGTGGTAATATAAAATCATGGACTGAACCTGATTCTAAGATGGCGGGGGAGGGATCTTGATCAGTATCAGCTGTGGTCCTCAAGCACTGCCACATATGGTTTAGCAGTTCTGCATGCATTCCTAATGCACCTCATGCGCCACCACTTCTTTGTGCACCACCACACATGGTTCAGCAGTTCTGCATGCATTCCTAATGCACCTCATGCACCACCACATCTTTGTGCACCACCACACCTAGTGCACCACAACACCTAGTGCACCACCACATATGGTTCAGCAGTTCTGCATGCATTCCTAATGCACCTCATGCGCCACCACTTCTTTGTGCAGCACCACACCTTTGTGCACCACCACATATGGTTCAGCAGTTCTGCATGCATTCCTAATGCACCTCATGCACCACCACATCTTTGTGCACCACCACACCTAGTGCACCACCACATATGGTTCAGCAGTTTTGCATGCATTCCTAATGCACCTCATGCGTCACCACTTCTTTGTGCACCACCACACCTAGTGCACCACCACACCTAGTGCACCACCACACCTAGTGCACCACCACACCTAGTGCACCACCACATATGGTTCAGCAGTTCTGCATGCATTCCTAATGCACCTCATGCGCCACCACTTCTTTGTGCACCACCACACCTTTGTGCATCACCACATATGGTTCAGCAGTTCTGCATGCATTGCTAATGCACCTTATGCACCACCAAATCTTTGTGCACCACCACACCTAGTGCACCACAATACCTAGTGCACCACCACATATGGTTCAGCAGTTCTGCATGCATTCCTAATGCACCTCATGCACCACCACATCTTTGTGCACCACCACACCTAGTGCACCACAACACCTAGTGCACCACCACATATGGTTCAGCAGTTTTGCATGCATTCCTAATGCACCTCATGCGCCACCACTTCTTTGTGCAGCACCACACCTTTGTGCACCACCACATATGGTTCAGCAGTTCTGCATGCATTCCTAATGCACCTCATGCACCACCACATCTTTGTGCACCACCACACCTACCTAGTGCACCACAACACCTAGTGCACCACCACATATGGTTCAGCAGTTTTGCATGCATTCCTAATGCACCTCATGCGCCACCACTTCTTTGTGCAGCACCACACCTTTGTGCACCACCACATATGGTTCAGCAGTTCTGCATGCATTCCTAATGCACCTCATGCACCACCACATCTTTGTGCACCACCACACCTAGTGCACCATTACACCTAGTGCACCACCACATATGGTTCAGCAGTTTTGCATGCATTCCTAATGCACCTCATGCGTCACCACTTCTTTGTGCACCACCACACCTAGTGCACCACCACACCTAGTGCACCACCACACCTAGTGCACCACCACACCTAGTGCACCACCACACCTAGTGCACCACCACATATGGTTCAGCAGTTCTGCATGCATTCCTAATGCACCTCATGCGCCACCACTTCTTTGTGCACCACCACACCTTTGTGCACCACCACATATGGTTCAGCAGTTCTGCATGCATTGCTAATGCACCTTATGCACCACCAAATCTTTGTGCACCACCACACCTAGTGCACCACAATACCTAGTGCACCACCACATATGGTTCAGCAGTTCTGCATGCATTCCTAATGCACCTCATGCACCACCACTTCTTTGTGCACCACCACACCTTTGTGCACCACCACATATGGTTCAGCAGTTCTGCATGCATTCCTAATGCACCTCATGCACCACATCTTTGTGCACCACCACACCTAGTGCACCACCACACCTAGTGCACCACCACATATGGTTCAGCAGTTCTGCATGCATTCCCAATACACCTCATGCGCCACCACTTCTTTGTGCACCACCACACCTAGTGCATCACCACACCTAGTGCACCACCACATATAGTTCAGCAGTTCTGCATGCATTCCTAATGCACCTCATGCGCCACCAAATCTTTGTGCACCACCACACCTAGTGCACCACCATATATGGTTCAGCAGTTCTGCAAGCATTCCTAATGCACCTCATGCGCCACATCTTTGTGCACCACCACACCTTTGTGCACCACCACATATGATTCAGCAGTTCTGCATGCATTCCTAATGCACCTCATCCACCACCACATCTTTGTGCACCACCACACCTAGTGCACCACCACATATGGTTCAGCAGTTCTGCATGCATTCCTAATGCACCTCATGTGCCACCAATTCTTTGTGCACCACCACACCTAGTGCACCACCACACCTAGTGCACCACACACCTAGTGCACCACCACATATAGTTCAGCAGTTCTGCATGCATTGCTAATGCACCTCATGCGCCACCACATCTTTGTGCACCACCACATCTTTGTGCACCACCACACCTAGTGCACCACCACATATGATTCAGCAGTTCAGCATCCCAGGTCACCTCTACGACCCAAGTCTGGGCTGCTGAGGTACAAGGTGACGATTTAAACAGACAGCATTGAAAGTTGAATTAAGAATCAACATCATAGCACTGGGACACCCTCATAAGCGGTCCGTCCCCATCTTTAGCAGCAAATGAAGAGTTGCAATTCCGATGGCACCAGTAAAACATTGAAATTAAGGGTGACTACTTTTTGAAAAGGCATCTCTTATCTCTAGCGAAAAAAAAATAAGTAAGTAAAAAAAACGTAAAGGACCCCCTTCCACGCCTTTAGACATATAGGGCTAGACCTATATTTTATAGACCAATGGCACAAGATGGGTGATGTGGTCAGCATCACGCCGGCCGCCTCTACTTCCCAGGACTGCACCCGGTACACACTTTAGGCTGGGTCGACCTGGGAGCCAAGGTCATTTTTGAAGAAAAGTCAGGCTCCGCCAGGGAGCAAAACTACGACCTTCCGATCCATGGCACACGTCTAGCCGCTCTGCCACGGCGATTCCCGGAAAAAAAAATAAGTGAACACAAAACACACCCAAGAAGGTCAGAGTTTAGGTCAATATGGAGGATAGGCAGGTGTACTGTTTTTAGTCACAGCAAGTTTTTGCTTCTGAAGATAGCTAGCTGCTGCATTTTCCTTGATATGTAGACTGAAAGGATATAGTGTTGCAACTAGCAAAAGAAGGTGAAACTTTATATAACAGCTCTCTGCAACACTTTGAGGCATAAACAGTAGGATCAAAGAAGAAGCATTAATGAAATCCTAAACCCTTAAAACTATGGCGACAGTACTAGCCCTGTGACCCTAAATCCCCAGGCTTGGAGCCAACCCACCTTTCCCCTCAGTGTTAACACAGACAGTGTTGACCCTAAATCCCCAGGCTTGGAGCAACCCCCCCCCCCCCCCCCCCCTCCCCTCAGTGTTAACACAGACAGTAATGACAGTGTTTGTGTGTTGTGTTGCAGAAACACAAAGACAAGCAGATCATCCATAGAAGCTTTACCCTGAGCTTGGCCAGTTCCATCTCAACGATCTTGGGATCACCATAGACAGGTTCCAGCTCCTCCAGCATGCTGTTGACACCATCCAGCCATGACCTGAAATTTTTGTACGCCTGATCAATCTGTCCCAGGCTCAGGAAAGCCATCTGGATGTCTCTCTGGGGGCAGCGAGAGAACAGAAAAACTAGTAAATGATACTAACATATAAACTGTATTGAAAAAACTAGTATCAATGATACATCATCAACATCATGTACTGGAGTGTATATACATTCATACACAACACAGATGATATATACATTCATACACAAATGTTGAATGTTGAACTAAGAATTAACATCACATAACTCAGGACACCCCCATAAGCACTCCATCCCCATCTTCAGCAGCAAGCGAAGAGTTAAAATTCCGATGGGATCAGTAACTGTCTGCTTGTAAATCTGTCTCCCGTTTCCCCTGAGTAGCGAGAGTCGGCCAGATCCCATTGTAACTCCTTGCAGTGCCATTCTCCTCAGATCATAATGATTTATCTGTTCCTTGGCACTGTTCACTCGTTCCCAAAGGGACCTCACAACATCAGCTTGTCATACATCAGTTCACCACCAAGTAGTGCAGAACCTGCCAGTCTATACACCTTCTTATTTTCCAACACACCAGCATGACCTGGAGAAAATATCCAAAGGATGCTAACTACTTGGGACCTTTGACCTCATTATGGTCTAGATGGAAGAAAAAAACTCAGGGTCTCTCACCAGCTGTCCCACCCCATGCATTTTCCTAGCCAAGGTCCTACTGATATCTGATTGGCACCACATGAGATGAATGAGGTGAAGCACATCAGAAGCTCTAATTAAATGACCAGGGGGGATAGAAAGAGTCACATAATGTCTGCAACTTGAACAGCTGTTAAAACTGAACTCAATTCTACTCCAGTAAATGTTACTTTTAATTTTTCCTATCTCAGATGCTATAGACAGATTCTCAGAATATCTTGGACAAAGAGGGAAAATACTGACATCTTGAAAGATCTGAACATGAAGGAAGATTGGCAAATAAACAGCATCCTGTCTCGGAAGCTGAAATATTTTGGTCATATCAAGCGCCATGATGGACTGGAAAAAATTCTAGCAGAAGGCATGGTACCAGGAAGGAGGGGCAGGGGCCGACCGACACGAAGATGGACACAGGATATAAGTGACTCCTTGGGTATGAAAGTGCACGAGGTGGGAGAGCTGGCGAGAGACCTAGTTTCTTTCAGGCAGACCGTGATGAGAGCGACATTCTGCAAAGGACCTGCTACATGATGATGATCTCAGTTGGAGACTTGTCTATCAGATCTCTCACAAAACTCGAACCTAATTTTTAATCAACATGATTTAACTAAAATCTTTTACAAAACTCTACAACTTACTTTCCTGTCACCGATGCTGGTTTGTAGGGCGTCCCATCTCTGGTTGACACCAGCCACAGGTTCTCTAATAACCACAGCCTGCTGTTGGGAGCAATCCTTCACCAGCTCCTCGGCCTGCTGGTTCAAAGCTTCAATGGCAACATGCTTAGGGTCAATCACGCTTTTGAAAACCTAGAGGAGAATGTAGATTCAATTATTTTATAGTCAAATCAAATATTGCAAACATACTGAAGAGGCTAGAGATTCAGGTTTATTCACTGTCTAACCAAATACTGCACACACATTAAAAAAAATGTAGATGCAAGTGTTTTAACAGTCAAATGTAATACTGCACACACACTGAAGAAAATGTAGATGCAAGTGATTTGGAGTCACACCAAATACTGCAGACAAACTGAACAGACTCTAGATGCAGGTTTTTTTTAGTCAAATCAATACTGCACATCTACTGAATAGAATAAGGAAGCAAATGTTTCAACAGTCAAATCAAATATTACATACATAATGAAGAGAATGTAGATGCAAGTGTTTTGACAGTCAAACCAAAGATTGCACACATACTGAAGAGAATGTAGAAAGAAGCAAATGTTTTGACAGTTAAACCAAACATTGCACAAATACTGAAGAGAGTGTAGCTGCAAGTGTTTTGACAGTCAAACCAAATACTTCATACATAATGAAGAGCATACAGATGCAAGTGTTCTGAGTGCCACATGAAATACTGCACACATACTCAAGACAATGTAGATGCAAGTGTTTTGACAGTCAAACAAACATACAGAGGATCCTATAGGTGAAGTTTTACAGGTGTAAAGTACTTAATTGATCACATAACAAACCAAAAATTCTGTTCTAAAAGTGAAAGTGATTGCATGTTGAGATCTGATCCAGCAGTGAGGAGATTACAAAGACATAACCCGAAGAGCTGAGACACATACCCTGACGTCATTCCACTGAAGACAATGTAGATGAGATCTGATCCAGCAGTGAGGAGATTACAAAGACATAACCCGATAGCTGAGACCATACCCTGACATCATTCCATTGTGACTTGATAGATGAGTATGATCCAGCAGTGAGGAGATTACAAAGACATAACCCGAAGAGCTGAGACACATACCCTGACATCATTCCATTGTGACTTGATAGATGAGATATGATCCAGCAGTGAGGAGATTACAAAGACATAACCCGAAGAGCTGAGACACATACCCTGACATCATTCCACTGTGACTTGATAGATGAGATCTGATCCAGCAGTGAGGAGATTACAAAGACATAACCTAAAGAGCTGAGACACATACCCTGACGTCATTCCACTGTGACTTGATAGATGAGATCTGATCCAGCAGTGAGGAGATTACAAAGACATAACCCGAAGAGCTGAGACACATACCCTGACATCATTCCACTGTGACTTGATAGATGAGATCTGATCCAGCAGTGATGAGATTACAAAGACATAACCCGAAGAGCTGAGACACATACCCTGACGTCATTCCACTGTGACTTGATAGATGAGATCTGATCCAGCAGTGAGGAGATTACAAAGACATAACCCAAGGAGCTGAGACACATACCCTGACATCATTTGACTATGACTTGATAGATGAGATCTGATCCAGCAGTTAGGAGATTACAAAGACATAACCCGAAGAGCTGAGACACATACCCTGACATCATTCCACTGTGACTTGATAGATGAGATCTGATCCAGCAGTGAGGAGATTACAAAGACATAACCCGAAGAGCTGAGACACATACCCTGACATCATTCCACTGTGACTTGATAGAATCAAACTCTGTAGAAATGGGCTCAAATTGGTTGAATGTTTCCTCTTGGATCTGAAGCCATACCAGTAGTTTCTGCAGCTCTTCGTGGAAGGTTACAGCCTTATTCATGGCAGCATCCAAGTCTTTGGACCTCTTCTCTACCTAGATTAACAAAACAGAAATACGTGTAGAATATGATTTATTCAGTAAGGAATTACTCCAAATAGTGACTGAAACCTGGAACACTTGCATCCATATACTTAACATCAGCTTTAAGACTACACCCAAGGAGTAGTACAATATACTATATTATATACAAAATTTAAAACCAAACAAAAATTAAAAACTTTGGAGATATGTTCATGATTTTGGAATATTTTTATATTTAGTCTGATTTCTGGTCAGAACTATGTAAATGTTAAAAATAATTTGGAAATATGAAATATGAAAATCCAGGCAGAAAAGCCACATCTTCTCCCAGATTTATGGTACCTATCATGGAATCAAGGCCGAAGGGTTGCGATATCCATAGTACCGAGCCAAAGGGTTAACAACTCATGGTTTCTGGATATTTAAAAAAAAAAGTCTGTCTTTGCTGATATTTAAAGTGATCTGGGATAATTCTGTTTGAAGATATATTAACATATCATATTCTTCTTCTTCCAAATTCATCCAAAGATATAACTGTTCCCAGTTACAGCCTGGCTGCGATATTTGTGCCTTTCTGATGACACATCTGACTTCTGCAGGTATGTGTTGACCGTATTAGCCTTCCCGGTACCTCTCATATGATAAACCCTGTTCTTGTGATCATGTGATAAAATAATGATGATGATGAGGATACAAATGTTGACAACAATGAAAAAGATGAAAACACAAGGAGGAGAAGAAGAGCTGTTACCTGATTGCTGATTGTGTTCAGTGTCTCCTCTGTGTCGTCCAAGTTCTTTTTGATCTCTGGTTTCTCAGGGTCCCCGACCAGGAGCATCAGCTGGTCCCCGGTCTGCTGCAGATCCTCCAAGTCTGCCTGAGTGATTGCCAGGTCTTCCTTCAGAGTCTGTAGACGATGATTAACTATCATATAAACTCTTACATAAATATATGCATAAATGTAGACATGCTCAAGTAAATATAAGTATACATTCTAACACAAATATAGGAATAATACACACAAAGCCATACAAATAAACACACAGAGTAACTTATCATGCATGTCACAAGAGGCAACAAAGGGGAGTTGGTACAAGTCTGGCTATTCCATCCCACACCAAATTCCAAGAAATCGCACTGATTAAGAGCTAAGCTTCGATGGGAGTCAAAGGGCCAGCAGCAGCAGCGGCAGAAGAAGAAGAAGAAGAAGAAGAAGAAGAAGAAGGAGGAGGAGGGGGAGGGGGGAGGAGGAGAAGAAGAAGAAGCAACAAAAATATAAAACGGAAGCTTACCTCCAGTTCTTCCTGTTGCTCTCTGATTGCCGCAGGTTCCAGGGCAGGCCTTTCCTGATTGGCCAAGCCATCCTGTAGCTCTTTGATGCTTCCGGAGAGAGTGTTGAGGTCATCCCAGAACTTCTCCGAGACTGTCAGGGCATCTTCCAGGGCTCGGCTGCGGTCATGACAGTTGTTGAGTATATCATGATACAGTCTGGTCAGCTCTTCCAGTTTCTGCTGAACATCTGTGGATCAATATCCAGTGACAATTAACCTTACTTCTCTAGAAGGTACTCTTCTTCTTCTTCTTCTATTCTTTGCATTGACTAGCTGTAAACTCCGGCTGAAAGTTCTGGTTATTTGTTTACTTCTGGACTTTAGTCATTGCAGATCTTGAGTTTTGCATGCAGATCCATTTTATAGATCTGGCTTCAAAAAAAAAAATTTCACTGAAAGTGATCTTTCACAAGCAATGAAAGTGATACTTTGCAAAGCTAACATCATACGGTCCGCACTATAACAGGGCTATTCACCCAAAGTTACTCAGGGGCCAAAACTGCAAAAAATGGGGAGAGGCCAAAGCCCCAGCAAAGAAAGATCTCTTGGCCTCCGCGGGCCAGATTTAGCTGAATAGTGCTGGACTAGAAGAGGAAGAGCAAGACTAACCTCTGACGGCTGGATCAGCAACACTGCCTGCCTGCTTCATCAGCTCTTCTGCTGCTTCCTTGACCGACTCCAGGGCATTAGACTTCATCTGCATCTCCTCATCAACAACCTAGAAGTCAAGAGTGGCAAACAAACATTCATCCTTTGGGGACTCACAGTTCAATAAAGGCAACACACTATACTAATATCCAATTCTGTACCACTGTTAGTGTTTGTTGTAGGTCTTCGTAGTATTCTTCCAGCTGTTCACCACTATAATCTGATGTTGGTGCATAAGTCTGTAATATTGCTTTATCAAAAGGTTTTACTGTAATTCTGAATTTTTGTTGTTGTTGCACAGGAGAACAATTCTTATATTTAAAATACCTCAACATATCCTAAGCAATGGCATCATGACAAGCCACCACTGCCTTCGCCTGCCTGACAATTTCCTGGTACTAATGTTTAGACTGGGTCAAACTGGTAGCTCAGATCCTTTTAAAAATTCATTTCAGTGGAGATTCAAACCTACAAATACTGGGTCAACAGGCAAGCATGCAATCCTCTGCATCACCAAGAACTAAGTTTCTCCATGCAGAAGGTGATAAAACTGACAGGTGTAAATGATGTTATGGTACACAGAAGATAATTGGCACATGTGAAAAAAATTGGGCGGAGGGGGAATAATTTTAAACACATAGAAAGAGATAGGTGTAAAAGGGGGGGGGGGGGGGCTGTTAAACAAAGGAGATAACTCTGACATATGTAAAGGGGGAATAATTTGTTACACACTGAAGGAGATGACTCTGACATATGTAAAGGGGGAATAATTTGTTACACACAGAAGGAGATAACTCTGACATATGTAAAGGGGGAAAAATTTGTTACACACCGAAGGAGATAACTCTGACATATGTAAAGGGGGAAATAATTTGTTACACACTGAAGGAGATAACTCTGAAATATGTAAAGGGGGAATAATTTGTTACACACTGAAGGAGATAACTCTGACATATTTGGGGGAGGTTACTGCTGACCCAGATGTTAGGTTTACCTTATTCTCTTCAATCTGTTCCCGGATCTTGTCTGGGTGAGCAGCAATGGGCTCAGCATTCTGGACTGTTTCAGCAGTCGTGGTTAAAGTCTCCAGCATGTTCTCAAGCTTGTCTGTGAACTGTGGACAGCAAAACAGCATTCATGACTGACTATCCTCAATGAGACTCAAGTCTCACAATGCCAAACTGTAACAGCAATTAGGTCTCAGTAATTCTAGTTTAACATTTTCTCAACTGCAATTAATCTACAATCCTGTGTGGGTTCTGGGGTCCCACTGTGGGGAAAAATGAAGAGATCCACTGCCCTCACCAACAAGCATGTCATAAAAAGCAACTAATAAGGGGTGTTTTCTTCAAAGTGGCAGTGAATCTGCCCCCCTACTTGTTGGCCCTTTTCTGTGTGTTTTTTCTCTCCAGATGCCAGGGGGTTGGGGGGAGGGTGGGGTGTCAAGCAATTTCAAAATTGAGTGCATTTATACTTGTAATAATCTGGATTTTCAGCTTCAACAGTCGTGGAACTCCATTGTGCCTTGTCCAACATCTGACCAACAATAGCAGATACTATCAAGACAAAACATTGTCAACAGTCACACTGATATTTGGATGCCCCCCCCTCCAAAGAAGTGAGAGACAAGGAACCAACAGTCTGCATACAAATAGGCCAGAATCTGTTCCAGGTTCTGGAACAAGACCAAAGTCCAGAGGTGGACAAACACCCAGAACTTTCTGCCTTAGTTTACAGCCGATGAGCGTGAAGGAGGAGGAGGAGAAGAAGAAGAAAGAACATTAAAGGCATCCTTGGCAAAAGAATGCATGACGCTGGAGAATTAGAACATGTCTTATCCAGCAGACTGAGATGAGAAATATCTTGCATAAAAAACTGGCTACATGATGATGATGATCTGCTTCTTACCTCTGCCGACTGCTGCATGGCCATATCAATGGAGTTTGACCTCTCCCTGACTCCTGACCTCACGTCCTCAATGCGACTGTTGTCTTCGTCTAGTTTCTCTTGGACATCCTGGGCTGCCTCCGGACTGACCAGCTGAATGAGAGCTGACCCTGTCCTGTTGAGGCGGTCAATGACTGGTTTGTGGTCTGCGACATCTTGTTTCAGGGCCTGTGTAAACATTGGACACATTTGTTGCATTCAGTATGGATTGTTTCATCATTTGGGTCTCTTAATTAATAATCACTCAATCAATTAAAATATTTAGTGTATATTTTAAGTGAAACTGTCCAGATCAGAAATCATGACCACATGGCTAGGATTGTCCAGACAATATCAGCCCTTGTCAAACAGTAAATATTATGGAGATCCAAAAACATTTCATGTAAAACTAAGCTTCGACTGATTAAAATACTAGTATTTCTGCATTTAAATATGGCTATGAAACAAGGGCTGCAATAGCTGAACTTTACAAGAAGGAACAAGCATTTGAAATGCGTTCTTCAGAAAAATTCTTGGCATAACACTTGGAGATAACATCACAAATGACAAGGTCATAACCAAGCAGACTGGCAACTATGAACCTCTTTTATCTACAGTAAAAAGGCAGACAATGCAATGGTACAAATACGTAAAAAGATCTAACAACTTCTTAAAAACAATACCACAGGGCTTAGTAGAGGTGAAGAGAAGACACTAAGAAAGGCTTGGATAAAGAGCTTCACTGATTAGACAGACCTTAGGCATGCAACCATGGAGTCCATAGCATCTCCCCATCAAATATAGAGGGAGCTGATCCGTCAACAGTAACTGGTGACCCGATGACACGCAGTGTAACAGGATGACAATGAATGAATAATTATGTGGCATACAAGTCAACGGGTTAACAACCTGGTATGTGTGAATCTCTTGAACTCTCTGTGAACAGTTATAACATCGGACACAAGATGTCTTGCACAGATAAGAAGAATCACCACGATGCTCTACAGCAGGGCTATTCAAACATTACATTTATTCAGGGGCCAAACACTGAAAATGGGGATCGTCACTGGCCAGAGGCCTCAGCCCCAGCATAGAAAGATCATTACTACAATACAACTGGCAGGTGATCCGTGGGCAACTTACTAGGCCTCTTCAGGTCATACTGGCCCCCAGGCCACCAGATGAATCACCCTGCTCTAGAAGATGTAACCCCTCCTTGCCAGAAAAGCTTTCTACTGCCATGAGAATAAGAGCATTAAAATGCAACATAGAGCCTGAACTGCTGTAGGTGCTTGCAGTTCTGCATTTCATTCTGCACCAAGGCAGATATGGATTATTAAAACAATTATCTTGGCTCTTAGGTTGACCCAACCTAAACTGGGCACTAGGAAATGACATGGGAAGTAAAGACAGCCAGCGTGATCTTGACCACATCCCTAAGTGCCAGTCTACAAGAAAATACAGGCCCAGCACCATATTCTCAATACTCCAATGGCATGAAAGGGTTCTTGACTGACTGTACGGCTGACTCCACGTGACAGCTGGTCAGCAAGTAGGAAGACTGACAAAACCTCAGCAGACATGTGGTTTCTGAAGACTCTGACTCTCTATGTGAGTTAGGCGGCCCCATTTGTGTGTGTGTGTGTGTGTGTGGGGGGCGGGGGGGACATATACAGGCTGATCCTCAAAAAGCATGCTGTAAAAGGTGACTAATTAAGGATTTGTTGAAACTGGATATGTTGGATGCAGATATCACAATCTAGCTGTAGACCACAACACAACATGCAACTGCCTTTGAAATGGCGGAAATAGAAGAAAGAAGTGTTCTCTGAGGAACATTCAGAAAATGTACAGATGGACAGAGAAATAAAAGAAGAAATCCTGGCAATAATGTTCTAGAAATTATTACAAATGTGAAATCACCTTCATCATTTCCTGTTGCTTTTTCACCTCTTGTGTATCAACAGTCACCACTTCTAGTTCAGTCAAGACTGGTTCAATCTCCTCCAACCAAATCACCAGGTCTTGGTGAGTTTCATGGAAGGATTTTGCCAGTGGCAAGGTCTGCTCCAGCTCTCCCAGCCTCTCAGCCGCTCCGGCTCCTACGGCATCAGATTTGTTTTTCAGCAGGTCTATCTTGTTGTTGATGATGTCATCACCGCCCAGGCTGGAATCTCTCAGCAGTTTCTTCCCAGCTGTAACTGCACTTCTGATTCGGCTTTTTTGGTTTCCGATTTCCACGCAGAAAGTCTGTAAATGAAAGAAACAATTAAAGTTAATTAAAAAGTTAGACGCATATCCTTTACCGAACACCACAAACCACTCCCCCAGCATTTGATGGTTTTTTAATGGTTTTATCAGACAATGGCCCTGTTATCATCACAGTCTAAAGTGAATGGTACATCATTATAAACATTATCAAAACAGACTGGCTGGTTCTGCTCACTTGGTGGTGAATCGATTTGTTATAATGGCCTTGTGGGGGGGGGGGAGTAAACAGTGAGAAGCCACAACTAGGTCATCAGTCTCAAGAGAATAGTGCAGTGGGGAGTGTCTGGCCGACACACACAGAGGAAGGGCAAGACGGGCATACAGTCATACTAGTACCAACAGAATTGGAACTCTTTGCTGGCTGCTAAAGATGAGGACAGAGACATTATGAGAATGTCCTGACTGGCGTGAAGTCAATTCTTGAAACTCAACTCAACCGAGACAATTTTACAGCCAGTAATGAAACAATCACAAACATTTTAATATTTTCAAATTATTTAAATACTTTCGAAATGCGTGCTGCAATAACTACTTCAATAGTAAAAGTATCGTACAGATGGATTCTGATGCCTTCAGAAATTCTAGTTCTTTTCCTCTGTGTGTTTCACTGCCAGACATTATCTGGTACTAATTCTACAAGATAGGTAAATCCAGAGTTGAACAGGTTGGGAAATATAATCCTGCCACTGTTGGGAATTAAACACAAAACACTTGCCATGATGGTTTTTGGGCTCAATATCCTTCCCTGTATTTATCCAGAGATATCTACCCTTTAGCACATGTTCTGCTGTCATAAGCCTATTGCACAATCCCATGAAACATAAAAAATGTGATCGGCTACTGTTTGTATGTATATCAAACACCAGATGGTGAGTAATTATATCTCTAACCTTTGGCTTGAGCATACTAAAGAAACCTGGCTAGACATTTTAATATACAGTACCTCATGAGTTGCCACTTTGAAACTAATATGCTGATGTTATATCATTGTGGTTATTATTTCATTTGTGCATCTTCTTTGAAATATTCTGGGACTGAAAACGTCTTTGGAGTTAGTATTTCTTTCACTAATAAACAGTGTTCAATTTTATTATTCTTTGACATTCAGAACAGGACAATAATTATGACCATAACTGTAACAATGATGATAATAACTGTGGAAGATAGATGTTACCTTTGCCTCGGCCAGCTGCTGTTCAAGTGTCTCAGGTTCGGTACTGATGGGGGACAAACTGCTCAGTTTGGTCTCTCCAATGCCAAACCAATCCAACAGCTCATCAAGTTCCTTCAGGCACTGAATAAAATAAAATACCACATCATCTCTTAAGTTCATAAACGAAACAAAAAAAAATCAAACAAAAAACTCCTTGAAAGCACAATCTAGACATAAACTATAATTTTTTTTAAAGCCATTCTTTTCCTTCAGCAATCAATTTTCTACACTTAGCTGTCCACACAAATCTGAGTTATCATGAAAATAATTGAAATAATAACTGAAAAGAACAATGTATGTGGTGCAATTCTGACTTGTGTGTACACTATACTTCACAATGTGTGTATGAGTCAAAGCAGTGAAGCACCAACAAACTGACATTAAATCAAAGGGACACTGTAGTTTACTAAGTTAATAATGCAACAAGGAAAACACAATAGAATAACATGTGGTAGTAAGGTTCAACTGTGAATAAAAACCTGAACAACATCCTGCGCAGGAGAGTCAAGGATCACTGGCGTATCAGGCATGTGATGCTAAACTTACTGAGGATGATGATGATGTCAACATCACCAGGGCATTACCTGGTATCCATTTTGGGCTGGGTCAACTAGGAAGCCAAGCGTTATTTTAAAACAAAAATGTGCCCCTATTTGCAGAAAGAAAATATAAGTGAATCTTGGTAACCTTAGTTCCAGCTTCATAGCAAAAAGGGCACCCCGTAGTTGCTTTGCTCTTGTGCCCAAGAAAAACATACAGAATATCCATCGCTGTGTGGAAAGAATGACACAGACTGCAGTTTCAGCATATCCACTAGCATTAGCGTAAGGCAGCCATCAGAAGTGCTAACACAAACAGTCTGACATTAGAAATGTAGTTCATCATCAACGGAAGCAGCAGTTACAAACAGATCAGCAGTTACAAAAACGATCAAAAAAGTGAATACTTACTTCTACAGATTTCTGTGTGGACATTTGAAACTTCTGGGCTCGTTTCTCGATCTGTTGCCGAACAGCATCGTACTTGTGGATGTCTCTGCTGATGGTCTCCTCCACATGCAGACCAGCATCGTTGGGTGTGGCTTCAGCTAGCTCCGCTCCCTCGTTGTTGATCACTTCAAAATAAGGCTGGACTGCTTCCAGCTGCCGCAGCAGAGCCTGCCAGAGACACAGCAGCTATAAGCTAGCAGTTTTCTTTAATTCTGGTAGTAAACAGCCAAGCTGGCAAGTTAAGAACTGACTTCAAAGTTTTTAGGGTAATCCCATAAGTGCTCCATCCTCATCTTCATCAGCCAGCAGAGAGTTCCAATACCAACAGTACAAGCTGCAGTCTGATGTGTCAGATGTCTAGTAGCATCACCAGTTATATCCGCCAGCAGAGAGTTCCAGTACCAACAGTACAAGCTGCAGTCTGATGTGTCAGATGTCTAGTATCATCACCAGTTATATCCGCCAGCAGAGAGTTCCAATACCAACAGTACAAGCTGCAGTCTAATGACACATCTGTATGAACTTTCTTTCTGAGTGTCAGATGTCAGCTAGATCCTTCAGTCACTCCCAACTGCATCATTTTCACTAGACTCTAGTGCAATGCTCACATGCTTCCATAGAGTCTTGACCACATCTAACTTGTCATGCACCAATTCACCACTCAGTGGTGCAGAACCTGTCTGTTTATGTCCCAACAAACTAGGATGCCCCAGCAGAAAAGATCTGCATAAAAGATCAAAAGGTTGCTCACTACCTTTGATCTCTGCATGAAGGCACACCCAGGCAATTACCATTTTCACCTTTCACAGTATGTTTTGTGATTCAGTTACAGTCACAATGTCCAGGTGCAGCTAGTTAGTAAGCCAACAGAAGGCTCTGAAGAATGCCTCCAGCTCCATTCTCTAAAACTAGCAAGTTAATGGAAAACAAACAACTTTGGGGATATCAGAATGGAATAGCCAGAAACAAAATTACAAAATAAATTACCCTATTCCAGTTGCGATAAACAAAGGGAAGTCCACTGACGTCCACTAATCCCTGTGAAGAAAAGGCAGGGATAAACCAATATAAAGGTGGACCAAAGACATGAAAACATCCTGGGCATGTGAAGAGAAATAAGAGAACTAACTGTCTGGGCATGCAGTAGCCTCAACAGTTATAAGACAGAAAAAATGGCTCTCTGTTGAACACATTCTGAGAATATACAACAGATATTCACCAAAGAGACACTGAAATAAGAAACTGAGGGATTGAGAAAACAAGGACATACAACAGAAACCTTAGAGCGAATGTTGATGAGAGAGGCCAAAGCTGCTGGACTGGATTCCATCAAAGTGATTGCACAGGACATAATGAAATGGAGAAATAGATTTTGAGCCCTTTGTCACTCACACACAATGGTACAATAGGATAAGGAATAAATGGCCATGGAAAATGCCTTCCCCCAGAGGGCAGGGTTGAAAGTGATGTTCAGTAAAAGACTTGCTACATGATGATGAGCAATCAGTTCTCCTCATCTGTGTCCACTCTTAAAAGGCTGGTTGCATTCTGTAGCGCAGTTTAGAGCTAGGCAGCAAAATCTGCGCCTTTCGCCCCCCCCCCCCCCCCCCAAATGGATATCAGCAAATCCTTAATTAGTTAGTTAGTTCGTCAACAGATTATCCCCACTGCACATCAAACCACTCAGTCCATATGTGCTCAGATCCCCTCCTCAGTAAATCCCGCAGCGTGTAGTGGCTCACGACACCAGTTCTGTGTTGGTTCTTATTCTTCTTTGGCATCCTGCATAGTACAATTGCCTGGCCACACCACTTCTCAACATGTTATTGTTGCAGTCAGGTTCACAGTCATCGCTCGGTTCAACGTCTTTTTTTCTGTAGAGCATTCAGAATATCAGCTTTGTCCATGGCTTGTCGACTCTCCACAGTGGCTTTACCTGCAGCCAATCAGCTTGCTCATTTTCTTGCACGCCTGCGTGCCCTGGCACACATATGAAACCGATATGTGTCAGCCCCGACTGCTTTAGAGACTCCAGCAACTGTCTTCAGATCCAGCCCTTCCCTATCTTCCTGAATTAGTTGCTTTTTATAACATACTTGTTAGAGCAGTGGGTTTATTCTGCCCCCCACCCCTATTCCAACCACAATGTCACCCGTGAACCCACACAGGGATATAATGATTCAAGGAAAAGTCTGAAGACCTTACCTGGATATCCTGCTCAGTGTCTGTCCCATGTGCTTCCTTGAGTTCCTGTTCCACACTGGCAACCCACTGCATAAACTTTCCATGTGCTTCCTGGAAGTGCTGAGCTAAAGGCAGGGCTTCTTCCATCTGCTCCAGGGAGTCCTCCACTCTAATCTTCAGGTCCCCAAACTGCTTGTGGATGTCCCCAATCTTGGCTTGTACAGCTGTGCCAGTCTCACCTGAAACACATCCCACAACTGACCGATCACATAGAATCAATATTATACAACATAACATAGAATGTCTGTATACTGGGACACACAGGGACATAGAAAGGCAGACCTATAAATAAATGAAAAAGGGAAATAGAGAATGAGGGTAAAAAGATGAAAAGGATATGGGGTGAGCTGCATGCAACAGTAAAGAGATTTGGTTGAGCTGGTTGAGTTGGTCATGAAAATAACAGAAGAGACCATTGATAAGCATTTCATAAAAGGAAATCTACTTAAATTGGATGCGTTTGGGCTGAATGGTGCAAATATCGCAGCCTAGCTGTAAACAACAAACATAACATGATTACTGCCTTTTTAAAGGTCAACGCAGAAGAATAAGAAGTTTCATAATGGTGTTCAAACCTGCCTCACAGAAGGAACTAGTGTACTGGGACGTACATCTAACAACACACCACTCAATGTGTCTTCCTTGGCTTCGTCACTCACCTGAACAACCCCACTACGAACAGAATTCAAATCTGGACTTTGTAATCTGGACTTTTGTCCACACAAAGACAGTAATGCTGTACCAGACTTTGTAATCTGGACTTTTGTCCACACAGAGACAGTAATGTTGTACCAGACTTTGTAATCTGGACTTTTGTCTGCATAGAGACAGTAATGCTGTACCAGACTTTATAATCTGGACTTTTGTCCACACAGAGACAGTAATGATGTACCAGGCTGGCAGATGAATTGTCCCTACTAGTCTCGCTCCCACAGATGCAAGTCTTTTTCAGAGCACTCAGAAGATCTGAATGTTGCAGCTCTAGACTTGAAGATTACAACTCTTGTCTTCAGGAAAAACTACAACCAACCAGCTATCTCTGGTTGACCTTCTTCTTAATGTCCATAACATGTGGCGTCTGTAGTCATATCTAGTCACAACGTTCTGTCTCATGCACTTTCTATCAATTTTGACACAGATGATCCTCCATATCATGAAATTAAACAGTCCAGCATCTTCTCTCTCGGTCTCCTTCTACCTCTTTCCCTTACAACCTTCCCCATCTATGTTTCTCCTTCTCATGATATGACTAAAGAACGTAGATTGTCTCCTTCTACCTCTTTCCCCCACACAGACCTTCCCCATCTACTTGTTAGTCTCCTTCCACATGATTTTTTCAGACTAAAGAATGTAGATGTCGTCTCCTTCTACAACTTTTCTTCCCCCAACAACTCTTCCCCTTATCTACTTGTTTCTCCTTCTCATGATTTGACTACAAGAATATAGATTTAAACTGTCTCCTTCTACCTCTTTCCCCTACAACCTTCCCCATCTACTTGTTTCTCCTTCTCATGATTTGACTAAAGAATGTAGATTGTCTCCTTCTACCTCTTTACCTTACAACCTTCCCCATCTACTTGTTTCTCCTTCTCATGATTTGACTAAAGAATGTAGATTGTCTCCTTCTACCTCTTTCCCTTACAACCTTCCCCATCTACTTGTTTTCTCCTTCTCATGATTTGACTAAAGAATGTAGATTGTCTCCTTCTACTTCTTTCCCTTACAACATTCCCCATCTACTTGTTTCTCCTTCTCATGATTTGACTAAAGAATGTAGATTGTCTCCTTCTGATGTGGACGATTAGTTCTCTTTATGAGTCAGTTTCCTTCAAGACTTCTTCAAAGCTCTTATTATCTGTCCAGGGTATTCTCATCATTCGTCTATAAAACCACATCTCCCCCGCTTAGTAAATTTTTTTTTTCACTTACTGTTCAACTGTTCATGATTCACTTCCATATATCAGGACATGATTTATATAGATCAAGAGAATTATTTTTCTTGTCTCAACTGACAATGAAAGACTGCACATAATTTTTCTATTTTGTAAAATACTGCCTTTGCTTGAACTTTTCTACATTTAACTTCTTGAATACCTAGTTGATAAATACTACACGTTTTACCAGACATATAAGACTCCGTAGCTGACCTTACAAGGGGGTGATGGAAAACCAGCAATTTCCTTGGCAACGATGAGTGGAAAGGAACTTAGTTATCCCCCTTTATAAAACACGACAGCCTAGCACAGAAGACTGCTATAACAGTACACCGCATTCTCCTGGTATGTCACATTTATTCTGAAGAAAGCATTTCATGAAGAAGTTGGGAAACAGCTGTGGTAATAATTTGCTCAGAAAGGCTGAGAAGTCTTATATAAATGAGAGAGTGTGTCTGCTTCTCCCTCTTCACTATTGCCAGAAACACCTACCTCTGCAGAACTCTTGAAGTTGACTTCCAAGGACAGACAATTCCTTGACAGAACTTTCATGTGTGCTTATCTCCTCTTGCAAATGCTGAAAAGTGTAGAAATATTTGTTTTGTTAGAAGTTTGGTGTGTGTGGTCTTCCACTTCAAGTACTGTACTGTAAATTTAAATGTGTGTTAAGAAATATATTTATGAGCTTATCATCCACAAGTGCTTGGGAGAAATATGTAAATAAATGTTTATTTAAATGTAAGGTGTGTGTTATTAAAACACTAACATGTACTTGAAAAGTACATACATATGTGTTCAGGTAAAAGCCAGCAAGTGTTGTGAATAGCAAGCTGACATAAATATTTATGTGTCAAAATGGCATTTTTGTCTAAATTACAAATGTAGTAAATATTTGGATTTGAAGTTGCTATGGTTATCTATGCATTTTAAGAACATATACAAATGAATTAATTGTTTGTGATTATCTCCACTTTAACACGCTATTGACAAAACAACTTCTGGTCTGCCCACAATTTGCTAACAGCAGACAAGAATAATGAAGAAGCAGGATGAGACAAAAAGGAGTAGGAGGAAACTAGATCATGGAGGAGGCTGGAGAAAAGAAGAATCAATAAAGGAAGAAAAGAGAAGAAAAACAAATAATTCAACAGAAGGAAAGCATGTGATTAATAAAGAAAAGGAAAAAAAAGTAACAAAAAAAAGGTTCCAATTGTGGGTTCTGGGGCGCCATTGTAAGGAAAACAAGAATAGACCTCCTGCTGTCTAACAAGCATGTCATAAGAGTCCACTAATTGGGTGCATCTTTTGAAGTCAGAGTGCATAACAAAACAAGTACAACTAGAAGAAGAATTGAGCATGGTTCTCAGCTAACCTTCAGTTCAACAATAATCTGTCCAATAGCTCCAGGATCTGGGGATTTAGGTTCCAGAGAGGCAAACTTCTTGTCAGCCTGTTCTAGCCACGCCAGCACAGGCTCTTGGACATCCTGGTACTGTCTGGCCACATCGGACAGTTTCTCCAGCAGTTTGGTCCTCTGGGCCACACTGTCAGTGACCGCTGTCCATCGCTGGCTGAGAGACTCCAGCTCGTGGATGACCTGGTGGCGTTCAGCTTCACCCAGCTGTGACCACATACTGGAGTCCCTCACAGCTGCAACACTCGCTGCTCGATCATCAATCATTTTCTGCAGAAGCTGCAACCGAATGGAACATTTAAAATGTCAGCTTTACAAATGCAGAATAAAGATAATCAAATGCACATTGCAGAGAAAAGACCTTCAACCCCCCCCCCCCCCCCCCCACAAATGATGTAATGTATACTGATATATTTGTCCATCTGCCTGAGACTCAAGGAACCAACAGTCTACATACATATAAGCCAGATCTGTAAAACAGATGTGCATAACAACCAGAACTGTCCACAGGAATTTACACAGACGGTGAACGCTAAGAAGAAGAAGAAGAGGAAGAAGAAGAAGATATCTAAAATGTCTTATCTTGCCTCTCTCGCAACATCAAACTATCAGAAAAGAATATAAGAAGAAAAAAAAAAGGAAGGGGAATGCGGGGGTGTAGATAGGGGAGAAAGGAATGAATGAAAGGATAGTCATAAGGAAGAAAACCAATGATTACTGCTACATGATTTGCTATACATCACCTTCTGTTCCTGAAGTTGACCTTTGATGACCCTGAACTCTGGTGAAGCTGGAGTCTGGTTGGCTATCGTTTCTTCAGTTTCTGCTATCCAGGTCATCAGAGAGGTCAGCGCATCTTTAAACTTTCCTGACTGCAGCAGCGCTTTGTCCAGGCTTCTCTCTCTTTCTGACACCTGAGATGTAGACAAATAGTTTCCTTTTACACATAAGTTGACGTTTAAATGCTGGTTGCCTAATTTACTACTGATAATTAGTTAATTATTATAAATAAATATAAATAAATATTATAAATAATTAAATTAAATAATAAATTTAAAATACTGGTTGGATGTTATATTAACGATAATTAATTACCAAATTAAAATAATAAATAAATAAATATTGATAAATAAATTAAATAATATTCTTGTAAATACAGCTTGGTTAATTTTACTGACAGCAAAAGTCGCTGCTGTAATAAATAATTAATTCATTATTATAAATATAAATAAATAAATATCATTAATTTTAAAAATAATATAATTTTAAATATAAGTTGGATAATTTTACTGACAGTAAACAGTCACTTCAGAAATACAAGACAAGTTTGAGGGGAAGAGAGAATGGGAAACACCAACTGTGAATATGCTAGAAAATATGGCGCTTCTTTGAATCGTTCCCCAAAATGGCGGCTGTAATATGATGGCGTTCAAAAAGGAGCTAAATTGGCCAATCTCTGGCCATAAAATATCCAAAAATATCCGAATGCGGGGTCAGTTCTATTAAAAATATATGTGCCGGCTCCGAATAACGAAACAAATGCTCTGACAGGGTCTGGGCGATACGTTGCTTGCCGACCTGCTTCTGCGAGTGTGCCTCACCGCCAAGCGTATCCCCCGCTAAACTAGATGGCTGGGACTCACGAGTGACAGCTACCTCATCTCCTGCAACTTCCTCCAATTACTGTACTCGTGAGTCCCAGGCACCTAGATACTCTCGGCGATGAGTTTAATCGCGTTTGGCGCATGCCGACAAGTCTGACATCTACCGCTCCAATCAGAAGAACACAGTATTGCTAATCGGCTTACATCGTCTGTAATGTCTCGAAATTGGTCAACGGTCGCTAATATCGTCTGCTAGTATCGTCGTCTGCAGAAACGCTCGAAATTTTTGTCAACGGTCGGTATTTATCGCCTGCTACTAGTACCGTGTGCAAATGTTGATATTGGTTGTCAAGTAATCCTAGTTTTGCCGCGATTTGTTCGTTGGCAGAAAGTCCGTATTTTAGATATACGCGAACACCGTCGTTCGGATATTTTTGGATATTTTATGGCCAGAATGTGGCATGCCGCCATTTTGGGGAATAAATCAAAGAAGCGCCGAAAATATGAAATTATTGAACAAAAAACACTAGTATTCTGTTTAGCCCCAGGCAGATGAGGGCTAAGAAAACTATAGCCTAGATTCAAAAGCCAGATGTATCGGCCTGGTTGTGTCATATTTGTGTTTGTTTAAGGTACTCTTGAGGTTTTTTACCCAGAATAACAACTGACTGACAGCTCATCAGATGGGAGGCTCTGGAACACAACAGATTGGCACCTTTCGCTCCTTCCAAATGATGCAAGGAAATCATAGCTCATGATGATGCTGCAATACCCACAGCACAATGCCTGGGCTGTATTATAGAGATCATGTTCTGCCCATGCAGCAAGATCCCTCTGTTAGTTGGGTTATCATCACTGCACACCAGACATGTCCATAGGTGCTCTGATCCTCCCCTCAGTATGAACTCCAGCGTCCAATGGCTAACAGTACCAGTTCTATGTTAATTAACAAGTCCTCTGGTGTGTTTGCGGTTCAACCATGAGTTAAAAGGTTTTTGTTTCTCAAGTACATGCAACTCTAGGGGTTACTAACAGCAAGTACAACAGATTTCTAAAGAGAAGAATGTTGTATCTAAGGTGCGAAGTGGTCTTTCTTTTGAGGAGGGCGGGAAGTTAGGCAGGGATAGACTGAGAAGAATGGAACCAAGACATGAGAAATGTATGCATATTTTCCTCTTACCTTGTCACTTAGCTCCGACCATCTTTCATGTAGTGCCTCCAAATCCTCATCCAGACCCCCTGAGCTGACTCCCGAAGCTGTGGTCTGTCCCAGGGACTGGATACTTCTGTTCAAATGCTCCAGTTCTTTCTGCAGGCCTTCTACCTGAGCCTTGCTGAATTTCTGGTAATACACAGAAATAAACAGATGGAGAACCCTTGTGGCCACAGAAACAGGTATATATATATATATATATATATATATATATATATATATATATATATATATAATAAACAAACAGAAATGTATTGATTGGCACTCACAGAAAGAAATTTAATGTTTAATTCAGAATCAAAATCACAGCACTCTTCACTGTGCATACCTCTCTCCATCTTTCTCAATATGCTCTGTGAGTCAGTTACAATTACAACATAAGCCATCTGTACAGATAATCACTTGGGCGAGAAAGACGTGGAAAGATAAAAGCCGAAAACTACAGTTTACTATGCCAGAAACCAAACCTGCCACATCTAAATGACACTCTGGTAAAAGTTCAGCAGACACAAGCAAATGATTTTTATAACATTACATTGTGTTCAACATGGTCAGCATGTTCAGCATGGTCAGCATGTTCAGCATGGTCAACATGTTCAGCATGTTCAGCATGGTTATAAAATAAGACAAATCAAGGACACGGTGGGTATATGGAGCCAGCTCCCTTTTTGTTTTTTAAGAGACCAAATGGTATTTGATGAGGGAAGTAATCAATACCACACAAGTCTTCTTTATTTCAGAATCTTCATCCTGGTCCCTAATTTTATGCTGGGTCTCCTTAAATATGTTCCAGGGCCCAATTTGTGAGGGGACAAAGAGAACAGCCACACTGCCCCCCCCCCCCCCCCCTAACAGATGTTGTAAAAATAAACTAATAAGGGGTGTTGCCTTAAAAGTTTGAGTGCATCTGCCTGAGAAGAGAGGAACCAACAGTACGGATGTCTGGGGCTGAGAACAGGTAGGTAGGTAGGTAGTTGTAACCCACCAGGACATCACACAAGCGATAAACACCCGGTGACACAAAGTGCCACCATGCGGATCAGGATCACCCATGGAGAGGTCCCATTACCCCTTTCAGCCGTTAGGCCATATCTGTGGCTAGACCATATTTATGGCCCGGCTATATTCAGGGCCCCGGGCAGAAGCCATAGTGGGGCTTCAAATAAAAAAAAATTGCATCCCACATGGGGACGACTTGGATCTGCCACAAATATCTAGAATGAACAGTTTAAAAACCTGTTGCTATCAATTTCATTCATCTTTATCCACAATTACCACTTTCATCCCCACCTACCGCCATCTTCACCTACAATTACCACTTTCATCCCCACCTACCACCATCTTCACCTACAATTACCACTTTCATCCCCACCTACCACCATCTTCACCTACAATTACCACTTTCATCCCCACCTACCACCATCTTCACCTACAATTACCACTTTCATCCCCACCTACCACCATCTTCACCTACAATTACCACTTTCATCCCCACCTACCACCATCTTCACCTACAATTACCACTTTCATCCCCACCTACCACCATCTTCACCTACAATTACCACTTTCATCCCCACCTACCACCATCTTCACCAACAACATCACTAACCTTTAACTCCTCTTGTTGATCTTTAATCTGACCCAAGCCAGTGCCCACTGGCTTCAGAGAGTCTACTGTAGTTACTGCAGTATCAATCTTCTTGTGTAAACCTTTCAGCATCTCCATCACCTGGTGTACTTCCTCGAGATTTCGCTCAACCTCAGCCTGGCGCTGTTGCACTTTGGTCTTCACACGTTCTTGCTGGCTCAGCAGAAGATTCACCTGGGTAGGAGGACATACATAGAAAGTTGCAGTGTAAGAACAAGAGGATAAACAGAAGGATACATTGTATGAAGAAGAGGAGACATTGTGTGTAACTAAAATATCAATGGTACAGATCTTTTATATTTAACTAATTCTCTTTTTCTTCACTTCTTCCAAAGTCCTCATCAAAGCGTTGGGAAGAGATGTAAAGATCTATGCGTGCTCTTTCTAATGCACTGTATAAATTGGTCTTCATTTCCTTAAGACTGTTCTTGATGCCATCATTCCATAGTCTGCGTGGTCGTACCCTGGCTTTGTGTCATTTATATTTCTTCAGCATGGCTCTCTGTGGTAGTTAGTACCAGGCATTCTTGTCAGATGACCAAACCATCCCATCTGATGCTCTTTAATAAAATGTATAACTGAAATCAGTTGGACTTCAATTTTTTTATTTTTAATGTTTTCTTTTCTTGTTACTCTGACAGCACTTCTAAGACACCTCATCTCTGTTGTTATGATTCTGTGCTCATTAGTTTTAGTAAGGGTCCAAGCTGGACATGGGCAGCAAAATCTGGCTAAAACAAAGTTCTTAATGGATTTGCCTCAGTGGACTCAAGTCTATTTCTATGTGTAAAAACTGGTGTTAGTTAGCGATTATTTACAACTGAAATTTTAACTTAATTTTTTTCTTAGTATTCACTGTGTATAAATTCCAGCAGAAAGTTCTGGCTGTTTACTGTTTTACAGATCTACCTTATACCTTATTTGTGTGCAGAATGCTGGTTCCTCACCTCGCAGGCTTTGAAAGAAACAACCCTAATCAGTCGTCTTTTACAACATGCTTGTAATGGGGGCAGCAGGGGGCCTTTTGAACCCACATGGAAGAAATGTTAACTCCTCCAGTACTAAGAACTGACCATGGATCTGTTGGGTTGTTCTTACACTGTACCTTTCTCTTCATTCATGCCACATACAGTTGTTACACTGCTCCAATCACTACTTTAACTCTCTAATTCTCTCTCAAGGCACAATTGTTTGGACTCATCTGCACCCGAACATTTCTTCTTCTTAAAGTCTATGCTGTGCGGCATTGGTGGTCATGTCTTCTTTCTCTGGTACTTTCTATCAGTTCTGACACAGATGATCTTCCATGCCATGATGCCAAACTGTCCAGCATCTGTTCTCTTGGTCTGCCTCTGCCTCTCCTCCCCTCCAACTTTCCCACCGTCACAATGTACTGCAGTTTTCTCCATCTCATGACACAACCAAAAAAAGGTAGATTGTCCTCTTTTGATATGGGTAATCAGTTCTCTTCATGAGTTCGTTTCTTTCAAGAAATCTTCATTGCTCTATTTATCTGTCCAGGGTATTCTCATCATTCATCAATAAAACCACATCTCCACAGCTTCCAAATAATGTTTCACTAATGCTAGAATTGTCCATTTACTACTTAAATTCAAACCTTTCTACAAGAGAATGGACTTAACTAAATCTGCCAGGTACTAAAAGAGTTAAGGACATGAATGTAGTCCTGACCTGTGTGGTGAGCCCATCAGGATCAGAGACGAAGCCTGCCAGCTGAAGGTCATGTGCCTGTTCTTGTAAGTCTAGCACTGGCTCACACTTGTCAGCAAACCTGGTCTGTAAATTCTGTCACAGACAAAAACCAGCAGAGAAATTTGTTTACTGGTTTAAGAAAAAAAAAAAACTCTCATCTCAGAGATAAGTTATTTTATAGTGATCAATGTTTGAGGCAAAAAGAGTTAACATAATAATTATATACGGTAAAAATAATTAACACATGTATGAGGCAAAAAAGAGATAATGCAATAACTGAGGCAAAACAGGTTAACATAACAACAGAGTCAGACACAAAGAGTTAACATAACAACTGTCTGAGGCAAAAACAGTCAGCATGATAACTGACAGAGGTAAAAACAGTCAGCATGATAACTGACTGAGGCAAAAACAGTCCACATACCAAATTCCTGTGTCAAAAACAGTGCACATACCAAATGTCTGAGTCAAAAACAGTCCACATACCAAATGTCTAAGGCAAAAACAGTCCACATACCAAATGTCTGAGGCAAAAACAGCCCACATACCAAATGTCTGAGGCAAAAACAGTCCACATAAAAAATGTCTGAGGCAAAAACAGCCCACATACCAAATGTCTGAGGCAAAAACAGTCCACATACCAAATGTCTGAGGCAAAAACAGTCCACATAACAAATGTCTGAGTCAAAAACAGCCCACATACCAAATGTCTGAGGCAAAAACAGTCCACATACTAAATGTCTGAGGCAAAATCAGTCCACATACCAAATGTCTGAGGCAAAAACAGTCCACATACCACATGTATGAGGCAAAAACAGTCCACATACCAAATGTCTGAGGCAAAAACAGTCCACATACCAAATGTCTGAGGCAAACAAAAGTTAACATAATTGTGAGGCAAAAATTAGTAAACATAATAACTGCCTATATTAGGAGAAATGAGCACAACAACTGTCTGGAGGAGGAGATAACATTCTTGTAGGAGTTCATACCTTAATTTCTTGAAGCTGGATGTGCAGTTCATTCTCATCATGTGACGGCACTTTTAGAGAGGACAGTGCATTCTCTAGATCTGACAGCTGATTAGCTGCATGTTTGACCATGTCCTGCAGACAAAAGTACTCAATCAATCAATGAATCAACAGGACCTGTACAGAACGACGCTCACTCCACGGTCTGCCTGAAAGTCTCTCTTTCTCTAGCCAGTACTCCAGCCCTGTGTGTTCTGCCTGGTTTTCTGGGAACTTCCCCCTCCATCCGTGTTGTCTCCAGACCACCATAACGCTTGCAATGTCCAAAATATTTCAGCTTTCAGGAGAGGATGCTGTTTATGAGCCAGTTCTCCTTGATATTCAAGTCATTCGGGATATCAACATTTTTCTTTTTCTTAGTCCTTGGTATTGTAAGAAGCATTTCAGTTGAAAAGCTCAAATTTCCTTATGCATACATTACAGTAGTCATTTAAACGCCAGTCATTTGCCAACCATCCTCATGTGGATTCCAGGGGCCCAGGGGGAGAGAGTCACTGCTCCCAAATAACCACGTAATAAAAGGCGATTAATTATGTGTTTGCTTAAATCAGATGTTTTAGAGCAAAAAGGGCACTTATCACATCCTATCTGTAAACCACAACATAATGTAGCAACCGCCCTTAAAATGGCAAATGTAGAAGAAATCATGTATAAAATATACTCTCACAGAACTCACTTTCCCATGTGTGAGTTCTGGGGCTTCTTTGGTGGGGGCGGGGGACAACATAGACCACAGCCCCTTAACAAGCAAGTCACACAAGACAACGGTTCTTTCTAATATCCTACCCCAGATGAAGTCACAAGGCAGTCCAACATTTTCAAAGGTGGTAAGACTGGGTTTCCCAGATTTCTGATGCTTTAAACGACCCCAACCAAAACATCTAGAACTGGCCCTAACCCCAACCCACCTACGTCCTACAAAAGAGTGCAGCCTAGGTCCCACGACTGCATGCAGCCTAGGTCCCACGACTGCATGCAGCCTAGGTCCCACGACTGCATGCAGCCTAGATTCTACACCCTGAAATCTTAGACTGTCCCGTGACCTGTGGATTTCCCCTGTTTGGGGAAGGATATTAAGAAACCACCAAGACAACTAATTAGGGGTTTTTCCTTCGAAGTCAGAGTGCATCTACATAAGAGGTAGAGGAACCAACAGACTGCATACAAATACACTACATCTGTAAAACATCTGAGCATGCAACACTCTGGAACCAGACAAAACTCCAGAAGTGGACCAACTAGAACTAGAACTTTCCACCAGAGTTTATGGTCAGTGAAGGAAGAAGAGGAAGATCAGACTCCAGAGTGTCGCGAGACGCCGCTTACAGTAGACAAGATACTTTGTGACCCTTCTATTTTTCTCTCTTACATGCGCCCAGTGACTTCATTTTCGTCATAAGACGCATTGAGAGATATCCCGGTTTATAGCCTACGGTTTGCTGTTTGGGATTTTTCCATTGTCTTATTTGTAATTCCC